CTGCTGCTTCCTTAGATAGAGAACTTTACTAATTGTCTTTTCTATGTGTGTGAATGTTCATGAATGGGGCAACCCTGCAACAACTTTGTTGTGATTTGACCCTATATAAATAAACTGAATTGAACATACAATGATGACAACACATACAGCTTGTTTCAAGTTAAGAGAAATAAAAAATGACTTCCCTCCCATTTCTATTCCAGCAAATCTGAGAAATAATAAGCATGAAAAGGATTGATAAAAACAGGTTAAAAAATCTTAATCTAATAATTACAGTTAAGGATTCCAGTGTGGTCAAAACATTACCCCATCATGCATTTCACTACGCTGGTGTCTTACACCGAAATCTTTAAATCGTTAGCTTAAGGAGTTCCCATCAAGAATCACTTGTGCATATCATTCAACAGGAAGGTATTCCAGTGACATAAGACCACCCTGATTCATTCAGCTGTAATCCGTGTGAGCCAAGCTCAGCAGTAAAACTGGAAGATATATGTGCAGGAGCCAGCTCTTACTTTGATGAGTTTGGCCGAGGAGAGGACAGCCTTGTAGGGAACAGTGGGTGCAGTTATGATGACTGAAGCATTGTACTCCTGCTCCAGTCTCTGATTAAACACCTCCATGTGGAGAAGACCCAGAAAACCAAGTCTGCAGGAACACAAGTAGGAATGATCAAGTTTTATAGGTGATATAAAAAGTTCAGGTACAGAATTATTCTCTGTGTTACTGTATAAGCTAAATAACTGCAACTATTAGACATAGATTTCCATAAGGGCTGAGCGATATCTCAATATTTTTAAAATATCAAGATAATTTCATACGTGATATAAAATGAGACTATATCGATATAAAATGATAGTCTCATACTCTACGCAGAGTTATATTTATACTTGAAAATCCACCAGTTTTTCTCCCTGTCTTCACGCAGCCCCTCCTCTCTCCCTCACTGAATACAAACCCAGTCCCTCACCTGCTTCCCCGCCTCCTGCTTGTGTGAAAGCAAGTGAAACTGCATGCTGCAGCTCTGACTTCGAAGACTTTACTCAAGTTATAAAGCTGAGCTAGATACATATGCAGATTGCCCTATCACTCCTCACAACAGGGGTTTGTTAGGGTCTTTGTTAGTCTGACTCAGAGGGGCCACTCTGGTCCCATGGATGAAATTCCTGGTAGGAGTGAAACGACTGAGGATCAGTCCTAAAGCTGCATTATACGTTTTTGAAAGTTTTAAAAGCAGCTGGCAATGAAAACGGTAAAAAAAAAAAAAAGCAGCCAAAGTCCAAGGAGCATCTTTCAGAAAGCCTGAAGAAATATTGTTCAAGACTATTTAAGATTACAAAAGGTGCACCCAGATGCTGTTTTCTCCTCCACCCAGAACTCCAGCTCCGATCAGAGGATCCAGCTGGACCTCGGCCTGTGGGACAAGTTCAGCGAGCTCGCCACCAAGTGCATCATCAAGGTGGTGGAGTTCGCCAAGCGGGTGCCGGGCTTCACCGGCCTGACCATCGCCGACCAGATCACCCTGCTCAAAGCCGCCTGCCTCGACATCCTGGTGAGTCCACGGCGTCTGCGATCCACCTCCTTCCCCTCAGCTGACCTTCACGCTCCAGTCCGTGACTCACCATCTGTCCGACTATTCGCTGAAGTGACTTGGATCTCCGCGGGGAGTCCTTCTACGTCAACACTCTGTTATATTTCATTTTTACACTGATTAAATGTTCTGGCTCTTCTGAGTGCCAGGTGCTTTTGATGTTTCTCACAGAACGTCCAGAATTCACCACAAACACACACTTTCTGCTTCTGTGTGGAAATTTATATGTAGATCATTTAGCCTGACTATTTTTTAACATTATTTAAGGAATGCTGAGCCAGAGTTAGGGTTGGTTACGTTGTAAACACATTTGTCAGCTCAGATTGTGTGTTGAGGAGGACTTTAAGCTACTACCATGCTAAATTTTAGCTGATAATCTATTAAAAAAAAGGGTGGCGCCGCAGCTATTTTTGTGTTGACTAATGTGGACTAGCTGCGGCGGTCAAACTGAATCTCTTGTAGACATAGATCTGATGGTTATATTTTCTTAGTTTTGTTTAAATTCATCCACTGGTTCATGAGATATTTTGCTAACAGACACACATGCAGACTCACACACACAATATGGGTCATAAAAGTCGAGGGTCTGGGATGAGGTCCAGAATTTAGGTTCAGTTTTACAACGATTGTTTTGTTATAACTGTGTTTGTGTGACGTTGTGTAGTTGGTTTGTCGGCCACGTTTTGACCAAAAGGTCTCTGCTGATGTTTAGCAGGTCACTTCGTCCCCTGACCCGCAGACCTTTGCTTCGTCTTCCTGCAGATCTTGAGGATTTGCACGCGCTACACTCCAGACCAGGACACCATGACCTTTTCTGACGGGCTGACTCTGACCCGCACCCAGATCCACAATGCGGGCTTTGGACCGCTGACGGACCAGGTTTTCACGTTTGCCGGGCAGCTGCTGCCTTTGGAGATGGACGAGACGGAGAGCGGGCTCCTCAGCGCCATCTGCCTCGTCTCTGGAGGTACGGGGTCTGCGTTTGACTCGTCTACTTTAGATTTGAGCTCCAACAGAGGCTAAACCCCTGAACTGTCCAGACCGGCAGGACCTGGAGGAGCCGTCCAAGGTGGAGGTGCTGCAGGAGCCGCTGCTGGAGGCGCTGAAGATCTACTCGCGTAAACGGCGACCCAGCATGCCCCTGATGTTCCCCAAGGCCCTGATGAAGATCACCGACCTGCGCACCATCAGCGCCAAAGGTCAGAACGCGTCAGACTGAAAACGTGTCGCTAATTATTTCACTTCGTCAAATTTCTTCAGCAGCTTCACATCCAACATCGTTTGGCTCGAGATTTCATTTCACAGAACTTAAGGCTTTTAGGTGATATTTTGCTAACAGGTGTGAATGTTCACGAAGCATTAACTGTGATCCTTTTTTCTTCCGTACGTTTTTCAGCTCCATTCTCGTCCCACAGTTTTCAGCTATTTCAACAGATCATGAATCAAAACGTTCGTCTCTTTCAGGACAATCCTGATATGACTGTTAGTTTTGGTGCAACTTTAGCTGTTTTAAATATTTAGCCTTTTCTGCCATTTTTTTCTCACAGAAAATGAATTGATCTCATTTTCCATCCTTCAAATCTTTAGATCTGTTCATAACCTTTTACTGCTCCTTCAGCTGCTTTCAGCTTCCTGCTGCAAATTTTAACTTCAGCTGCTTTCAGCTCATTTCAGCTGTTTTATGCTCCTTTCAGTTTATTTCTGCGTTTCAGCTTTTCTACTATTGCAATTACTATTTGGCTGTTTTATATTAATTTAAGCTTTTTTCAGCTAATTCCACATTTTTTGCACTCATTTCAACTTTTTTCAACCTAATTCAGCAAAAATATGCTCTTGCCACTTCCTTCTTGTAATTTCAGCTTCTTTATGCTTTTTTAGCTACTTTCAGCTTGTTTTTTTTTTTGTTGTCGTTGCTAATTTCAGCATTATTTCAGATAATTTCCACTTTTTTGTGCTCATTTCTGCTTCGTTCAGCCTAACTGGGCAAACAGGTGTTCTTTCTGCTTTCTTCTGATTATTTAAGCTTATTCTATCTCTTCGGCTACCTTTATTTAAACTCTTTATTTACTAATTTCAGCAGTTTTTAGATAAATCCAAGTTTTTGTGCTAATTTCTGCTAATTTCAGCTTGTTGTGCTCCTTTCAGCTTTTTCTGCTATTTCAGCTACTTTTTAACTGTTTTGTGCTAAATTTAGCTTCTTTTTTTTTTTAGCTAATTCCACATTTTTTAGCTCATTTTAGCTACTTCCACTTCCTTGTGACAGTTTAGTTTCTTTCTGCATTTTCAGCTTCCTTTCATCTATTATTCTGAGCTAATTTCCTAATTTTTATGCTTATTTCTGCTTATTTAAGCCTAATTCAGCAAATGTGTTCTTTTTGGTTTCTTCTGCTAATTTAGGCATGTTCTTCCATTTCAGCTACAATTCAGCCTGTTTTTAGCTCATTTCAGCTGTTCTTCAGCAATAAGCGTTCACGCTGTATTTTCGCAGGAACTGCAGTTTCTCTAGTTTCTCTAGTTCATAAATACGATCCGTTAGCTCTCGGAGTGTGAGCTGGGGGTCAGTCTCGGCTACTACCACACCAAAGTTTAGCTCAATAACTGTACAACTAACGGCGTTATAGTCATTTTTGTATTTGCTAAGACTGCTTTGCTGTGGCGGCCATCTTGTATCGGCTGACTCAAGAGGTCGACACACGTGAGTTTTTCTAAAGCCGATTCTGAAACAGACGTTTAGGAATCTGAGCGGACGACGGCCGATATACACAGATATTAAACAAAGGTCAACAGAAATTGCTCAACCCTAATAAATGTATATTTACCAACCCTTAGAATAATTTGTACCTCAAATACAACATGTGAAAAAGTTGCTCTAAAAAAACAACAACACATCATGGGCTACAGGTTGTAGCGGCTGCTGCTGCGTCTTCATCTTCCGACTTAATAATTGGGTAAATATGCACGACATGATCCGTTTACACATTTTTAAAAAGTGGGCAATATCGACCAATTAAAACTGGTTGACCAGTTAACGTTTCCATCTCTATTTGTCTCTGAAGATAAGCAGCTGTAGGTGTTCATCTAAGAATTACACCAACGTAAACGCTTCCCCTTTGAGTGATACAAGTGGACCCCCACCTCCACCCCGGGCATGAGCAGCTGGAGCTACTGTTGTTTCATTGTCCAGTCTCTCCCCGACTCACTTCGACTCTACTCGGGTCTACATGGTCGCAGTGCCGCCTCGTTGTGGGCGAGATCGTTACAACGTGGCCGTTCAAACTTTCTGCAACATTATTTTTTTATCTGAAGCAAACACAGCGCAGCAATGGGCAAATAAATGAAGTCAAGTCACGATAGTCACTGTCTTCTGCTCCAGTTTCCCAAGATGCAGCAGCGGAGTCGAGACCACCTCCCTCTGCTGGTCGGAGCCCATAAATCCAGTCCGTTGGGTCTGGTTTCCATCTTCACCCACGACTGAAGTCGCCCTCTGGCCAGTCAGTGTCCTGCAGTCTGCTGGGGTCAAACCTTCTGCTCGACTCGGCTCCAGGTCGGTCCTGAGAGCCGAGCTAGAGGCAGGTGGGATCGGCCAGTGGAAAGACTCCAAAGCTGCACCGGGTCGACTCGAGCAGGACCGAGCTGAGCGCATGGAAAGAGACCATTAGGCCCAGAAAGTGAGGGGAAGGTGTGAACTGGGATTCAAACGTGCAACTTTAATCTGTTCTTTTAACTCGTACACCCCAAAATAATCCCAACGAGTCCCAGAATTGGAGCTTTTCAAAGGAAGGTGGATTTTAGTTTTTAGCTTGTGACTTCAGGCACAATCAGAATCCCAAAGAGCAGCGTCTTTTCACCACAAATGTTGGCAGAAACAAAAAAAACAGATTGTTTTGTTTCCACAGGAGCGGAGCGAGTGGTGACGCTGAAGATGGAGATCCCCGGCTCCATGCCGCCGCTGATCGAGGAGATGCTGGAGGACCTGCAGAACCTGGAGACCAGTCAGGACACACACAGCACACACCGCTCCGGGCTCTCACTCTGAAGCTGCAAAAAGATCAAAACAACACGTTTCTTTCTATCTGACAGAGATTACTAACAGTTTGAAGTGCAGACGCAGTTCAGAGGGTCGCCAGACTCTCGCCTCCGTTAACGTCCAGAAACCTTTGGGAGCTTCTCGTTGTCAGGCAGGAAAACGAGAATCGGCGGCGGTCGCATTAACGAGCTCCCCGCTGAAATAAAAACCAGTTTGTTTTCAAACCCGCTCAGAGAGAGAGCAAACGAGAACGATGCAGTATTATTTTAAACTCCGAGGATCCCTCTCAGCCTTTTGTTTACCATATCTGCTTCTTAACTGTATTTATAATCGCATGAGTTTTTAATTTGACCTCGTTAAATAACACCTGGAGCGTTAGACTAGATGTTTGAGAAGTTGCTGTAACTTTCTGTGATTCTGTCCAAACCTCTGCTGCGTAACAAGAGGGAAACAGAAAGAGTTACGTTTGTTTATCGCTGCCCGGACGGACGGACGGAGGTGAACTGACAGAAAAAACAGATGTTAGAAAAAGATTGTATTGTATTTCTGTGGGACTCAGATTGTTTGTTTGTTTGTTTGTTTGTTGCTGGATGTTTGTTTAATCACATCCCAGCCTGAAATAATGACGACACTTTTGATAGCTAATTCTATTTCACAACTCTTTTATCTTCTTCTTTGACAAATAAAACGTTTTAACTTCAGATTATAATGAAGCTTTTATTATTATTATTTTTAGAAAATGTCTTTTTTTTTTTTATCATGAGGATTGTGTAAACCTTTATCAGATATTGCTGCACTGTGGCCTCTTGGTGTTTAACCTTCTCCTGTAGCTCCGCCCTGAGGCGACAATATTGTTGTTTGTTAATAAACAACTTGAGTTCTGGTGAAGTTGAGACGACGTGTCGCAGGTGGAGGAAAATCACAGAATGCAGCGATTTGCAACTCTGTCACAGTGGAACACGGTGAACACGCCAAAGCCTCTTTATTTAAAAAAAAAATTAGAATTCATTTTAAACATTTTATGGCAGAAACACGTCTCAAAGTTGGGACAGTAGCAACAAAAAATGTAAATAATAATAAGTATAAATAATAAACAGCTAATTAGGTTCATTAGCAACAGGTCATTAGGACTGGGCGTAAAAAAGTATTTTAGAAGTAAAGATGGGCAGAGGTTTTCCAAAAGAACCGTCTCTAGCAAACGGTGGATCAGCGTATTGGAAAGAAGAACGTGCTAGATGATGTCATCACTGTGTGTTTTCATACAATGACAAAGTTAGTCTCTGCTTTTAACCCATCACACCTGAGATACATCCAGGTGGAGCAGCGGGCAGCTATGTAAGCACCCGGGGAGCAGTTAGGGATTGGGTGTCTTGCTCAGAGACACGACATGTGGGCATGGCTGGGAATTGAACCGTGACTTTCTGGTCCCAGGTCGGCTGCCGTACCTCTACCCCATCTCGACCCCTAATTGTTCTCATCAGAAGACTGGGAAGTCTTTGAATCTCCCAAAAGGTTGAAAATCTGCAGAAAACTGAGCTCAGAGGTCGAGGCTGAAGGTCAGTGTTGGATGGTTGTGGTCTTTGGGGCCTCAGGGGCCACTGCATCAAAACCAGGTCTGGTTCTGTTCTGGGCTCAGGAGCACCTCCACAGATCACTGTCTGTCAATACAGTTCATCCACAGATGCTGCTTAAAGCTCTATCAGACAAAGAAGAAGCCAGATGTGAACACCGTCCAGAGCTGCTGCCGTCTCCTCTGGACCAGAGCTGGTTTCAGATGGACCGAGGTGAAGTCCAGAACTGTTCTGAGGTCAGACAAAACAGAATTTGATATTCTTTGTGAGCACCGTGGATGCCACGTCTTCTGCACGAACGATGAGACCATCCATCCAGTTCTCAGAGCACAGTTCAAAGCCCGCCTCTCTGATGGTATATGGGTGCATTAGTGCCTCTGCCATGAGCAGCTTACACATCTGGAAATGTGACAATGCTTCACAGGGATAAACATTTGTGTAAAATTAAAAATATCCATATAAATGGTGCCATTCTTGAGTTTCAACATTTGACGTGTTTATTTTGTTCCATTGTGAAAAATGATTTGAGTTTTTCAAATCATTTTGTCTTTAATTTACATTTCACATCCCAAAGACTCTGGACTTGAGGTTGTAGTGCACATCTGCTCAACTCTCCTTTATCACTCCAAGTTCTTATTTCATGTAGTTTATGGCCACGCAGACTCTCAGGCCTCAGAGCCGCCACAACAACCGAACACAACATCTGAATTAAAGTGAATTAAAGTGAATTAAAGTGAATTAAAGTTGTGCATTTTGTAAATTCAAGTGAAACGGTGAAAAGATCAGGTTTAAAGAAACAAGAGGAGTGGCACATTTAAAAATCAAACACCTGAATGACGTTTAGTCGTCCAGGCTGTTGAGCAGAGCTTAGAGATTTTCCTGACTTTACCTTGAAATATTGACTTTTTATATAATTTTCTTAAAATAGCAAGGCTATTAAATTTATTTGCTTTGACCTCAAAACAATACAAAACTCGCAAACAGCTGCTATTTTTAAACGTTGATGTGATTTTTCTCAAAATCTCAAGTTAACGGTCTTCTTATTTTGAAATAACTGAGCTGGTTTTGTCTCGTTCTTGTGTTTAAACCAGTTTAAACGGCTGCTATGGTCCAACTCCCAGTGTTTCACCTGTGATTTTGAAATGAATAAGCGCTTCCAAGTCAAAATTAATAAATATATCAAATACAATCTTGAGGTGAAATCATAAAAATGCTAACAAAGAGGTAAGTAATGAAGTCATCTCTTGGCTTCTGTAATCTTATCTAAGCAGCTTAGAAATCCAATTTTTAAAATAAAACGTACACATGTGCCTGCTGTAACTGTGCCAAACTTTTTCATCTGTTGTTTTCTTTATTTGCAAACACGTCTGATCTTTATCTTCACGCCACAGTGTGGTGACTGTATGTACAAATGATTGTGTTTCGATTGTGATATCATTAAACATCACACATATTTTTGTCTATTAAAGTTTTGTTTACGGAGTTTCACTAAAGCTGCTGCCTTGTTTTTCTCCTGTGTGTGTGTGTGTGTGTGTGTGTGTGTGTGTGTGTGTGTGTCCCTCTTATCGAGGTTTATACTGCCCCCTGGTGGTGGAGTTGAGAACTGCTCACAACAAAACGAGTTGCAGAGGTTTATACCATACCATTATATAGCACTTAAAACAGCAACAAGGCCAACCAAAGTGCTGTACAAAAGAACACAAACATGCACAGCAGACAGGAAAACATAAAATAGAAATACAGATACAAATAGCAGCAGAAGCTAACTAAAATGACTAACAGAGTAGAGAACAGACCGGACCAAAACAAATCACACCGTGTTAAAGACAAGCGAATAGAAGTGGGTCTTCAAGCGAGACTTAAAGACTGAGAGTGTGGGAGCCTGCCGGACACTCAGTGGCAACTCATTCCACAGTCGTGGACCTGCAACAGAGAAAGCCCTGTCACCTCTGAGCTTACGACGGGTTTCTGGGACTGAGAGAAGCATCTGGTCTGCTGACCTCAGAGAGCGCGGTGGGACATATGGCTGCAGAAGATCAGTGAGATAGGATGGGGCGGAACTGTTCAGTGATTTAAAAACATACATGAGAATTTTGAAATGGATCCGAAGGTGAATGGGTAGCCAGTGCAGGGAGGCCAAAACTGGCGTGATGTGCTCTCTATAGCCTGTACCAGTTAAAAATCGGGCTGCAGCATTTTGGACCAGTTGTAGACGAGCAATGGAGGACTGACTGATTCCAAACAGAAGTGAATTGCAGTAATCAAGCCTAGATGTTATGAAGGCGTGGATCACTGTCTCAAGGTTCTTTTTGGAGAGTATAGGCTTCAGCTTAGACAGCCGTCTCAGCTGAAAAAAAACAGGATTTTACCATCATGTTTACGTGACTGTTGAGTTTTAAGGACGGGTCCATTATCACCCCCAGATTAGTGACCTTTTGTTTCTCTAGCGGGGCTAGAGAGAAAAGGTCAATGTCATGGTTCATGAGTGAGCCACTGGGATGGAACAGCATGACTTCAGACTTCTTCTCATTGAAGCTTAAGAAGTTTAAAGCCATCCAGTCCCGGATGTCAGTCAGGCAGTCAAGAAGAGGCTGAATAGAGCGTGTGCCTCTGTGCCTCAGGGGGAAGTAAATTTGGCAATCATCGGCGTAGAAATGAAAGGGTATGTCGTGTGTGCGGAAGATAGCACCTAGTGGCAGCAGGTATAAAGAAAAGAGAAGGGGACCGAGGATGGACCCCTGCGGTACCCCCCACTGGAGCGCTGTCGATGCCGAACTAAAATCTTTGATATTGACACAGAAGGTTCTGTCAGAGAGGTAGGACCCAAACCATTTAAGAGCTGACCCTGTGATGCCCACCCACTGCTCCAGTCTAGAAATGAGGATCTTGTGGTCGATGGTGTCAAAAGCAGATGTGAGGTCCAATAGGACAAGCAGCACAGAATCACCTGCGTCTGTGGATATGAAAATGTCATTAAAAACCTTCAGTAGAGCAGTTTCAGTGCTATATGATTTTATGATAAGAAGCCTCATCATGAGTCCTAATTTCGTACCGTAAACATGCAAATGTGAGCTGGGATGACAATAAAAATCCTTGAATCCTTGAATCATCGAGCGTTGAGGACGTCAGACCTTAAATTGTCACATTTTGGGAGTTTTGAAGCAGCATTAATTTACATTTCCCAACGTTTACAGCCGTGTTAGTGCAGCTCCCTGAGGTCGTCCGCTGTCGTTAAATCAAAAATAAATCTGGAACTGCGTACCCCCCACGTTCTGCAGACTCAGTAGTATTCATTTGGCTGAACCACTGGGGGGATTTTAATGAAACTCTCAGAAAGTGACAACTACCTTTTAGAGTCAGCCCAGTTCAAGATGGCTGCCACAGCTAATTGACCTTTGCCAACACAAAAATGTCTGTAGGCGTGGGTAGGCAAGTATAAGCCTTGGCTTCAGCCTAGTCCTTTTTTGGTAAATAATTGATTTACCATTTTATATAGTTTTATAGTCCCTTTTTTGTAATGTTTTTAATTTACCAAAAATAAAGTTGAGTTGAGTAATTTACTCAGAATTACAGATGAGGTCACGTTTGTGTGGTAGTAGCTGAGAGTCACTCAGCATCTGACCTATGAGATGTGGCGGCCATCTTGAATTCAACTTCTTGGGCGATATGATTTCCTCAAGGAAAATGCTTTGGTTTTTATTTTTGGCAGTCATTTGGGTAATGTTCTGTTTTATCAGTTTTAATCTGACTGCATCCTAGTCTATTTTTGTCTCCTACGTTTGATGTAGCACCTTTTAAATTAGATCTTGAAAGGCACATAAAAGTACAAATCATCTGCCTATTAAATGCTTATACTTAGTACAAAGACTGAACGAATACGTTTTTATTAGATTTTACAGTTTAATAAAACTGCTCGACACTGAAATCATGACAAAAAATAAATTAAAAATATATTCAGACGCTCTTCAAATCAGTAAATTGGGTCGTTTTGGGGGAGATGAAGTCGAAGAGTGCAGAAGAGGCAGATAAAGAACGAGCTGGTTTGTCCCTCCGGAGTGAACGTTTCTGTCGGCTCTTTGACGGTGAAGCGAGGGAGGAAGCTGTGGTTTGGGTTCAGAACCACGAGCTCGCTCGGCGGGGCGAGCTACACTCAAACCATCAGGTTTCCACCTGAGCGTCACACATAAAGCCTACAACAGCAGCAGCGCTGGGACCACAGGTTCACAGATTTACACTCTGCTTTGCAACAGACAGGAAAAGAAAAATGGTTTCTGTCTGTGTAAAGTTCATTTTAGTTCAAATTCAATATATTCCAATCACCTCTGTGGTGCAACGGTGTTGCGTTTAAGAACGCTTGTTACTTACTGTAACCCCAGATTGGGTATTTTGTGCACTTGCTCCAACATGATTTCACTGTATTCTGGTACAAGGATAATAAAACGTATTCTGATAAACGTGGCTTTAAACAGGAAGTGGTTCAGTATCCTGCCATAATAACCGTCAGGTTTTATCTTATTAAATCAGCTGCAAACACAGTCCTGTCCAAACTGTCTGGGATCTTTGTACGTGCTAAATATGTGGAACAATGCCTTGGAATAAAAACTGGCCTTGTCTGTCAGCAAATCCAACTGGTTCCAGTTTGGGAGCTGAAATGTGTTAAACAGGAAACAGTCGCTTCTCTTCGGGCTCATTCCTGTTCTCTTTGGACCTGAAGTGAAAAGAAACGTAAAAAACTACTTTAGTTCCGATCATTCTCAGATTTTAGCTCTGAGATTTTATCACATTCCCATTATTCTGTATACTTTCCAGCCTTTTATAACTCAGGTGAAAATGTATCATGTTTTAAATCAAATAAACAAAAACTAATGAGTTTGGCTGGAATTAAAGGAAAAGTTGTGACTTGTGCTTCAGGCAGTTTTAAACCTGTTGTGTGATGCTTCGTAGTAATTGTTCTCCTGCAGGAGCTCCTCAATGATCCCCTGAAAGAAACGTTTAAATCATCAAGAAAAGCTATTTTGCTCCAGAGACTCGATTCAGCAGCACGAAAAACACTTAAATTCACAGAAAAGTATACGACAGAAAATAAAAAATTCAAGAGTAAACTTTTTTTTGTCTTCAGATCTCTTGATAATTTATCTTTTAGCTTCCATTTTGCTACTTAAGCTTTTAGCTAGCCCTTTGAAACTAGCTAGCCGTTTGCTACTTTGAGCTTTTAGCAGCTATTGTGCCATTATAGCTTTTAGGTAGCCTCTTGTTAAGTTAGCTTTTAGCTATCATTTCGATACATTATCTTTAAACTTGCATATTGCCACCGAAGCTTTTAGCTAGTCTTTAAATGTCTTTACCTTAGCTTTAGGCTAGCATTTTGCTACTTTAGATTTTAGCTGGCATTTTGACACTAACTAACTTTCCATACTTGAAGTTAAGCTTTTGCTGCTTCTAACTAGCGGTTTAGTATTTTTAGCTTTTAGCTACCTTCCTGCTTTTGCTTTAGCTTTTAACTAGCCTTTGGATACTTTTACCTAAGACTTTTGTTGCTTTAAGCTATCTCCTTGTAGTCTCTAGCTACGTTTGTTCTATTTTTATCGGGCTTCTTAATAATTTAGCTTTTAACCTTTTGATACCTTAGCTTTATAATCTTGCATTTTGCCACTTATCTTTTTAGCTAGTCATTTGATACTTTTACCCAAGCTTTTGCTGCTTATAGCTAGCAGCTTGCTAGTTTTATGTTCTAACTACCATGGCTAATTTTAGCTTTTAGCTTACATTTTGCTACTTTTAGCTTTTTGTTAACTTTATGCCACTTTAAGGTAGCAGTCTGCTATTTTCAGCTTCTATGTAACTCTTTGCTATTTTTAGCTTCTAGGTAGCATTCTTCTATGTTTAGCTTTAAGCTAGTGTTCTGCTTCTTTGAGTTTCAACCACTCAGTTTGATTTCAGCAGACTTTTAGCTCCCTGAATTAATTTTGTGTTTCAACAGACAAACCTCTCTCTTGTTTCACTTGTTGTGTCTTTAATCCATAAAATCCAAATTATCAGCAGAAAATCTGACCTGCATCTGCTGATACGTAACTCCTTCTCTGAGATTCTCAGCAGCTGTCAGAAAAAACAGGACAATAACCGTCACTGAACCATCGAGACGAATTTGTAACGTCAGTGTTTAGTTCTCAGGTTCTGGAGCGGTTCTGCAGTTGACTCGGTGATAAACTCTACCTGAGGTATCGGCAGCATGAACCCCGGTGGAGTTCTGCCCCCGAGGCCACCAGTCTGATCCGGTTGAGTTTAACTCCATCAGTTCTGGAGACGCCTGCAGGAGCTGAGAGACAAGAGACAAGAAGATTCACCGTTTGCTGCAAATACAGAAACTGTACATACGGCGCTTTGAAGGGAACCGGACCTGGATGATCCGTTTGCTTCAGAGAGCCGGTCAGTTCTGAACAACAGTGACATCATCACATACGACAGATTTTATATATTAAATATGTATATATATATATTTACTTTTTATATTCTGTAAACATTACTGGTACTTACTGGGTATGTACTGGTACTAACCAGGTACCTACCTGGTATGTACCTGGAACATGCTTCTTTTCAGGTCAGTACCTGGTAAGTACAGGGTAACTTCACAGAACAGCCTGGTCCTCTTCTGTAAGTACCTGTATGTTCCAGGTATGTTCCAGGTATGTTCCAGGTACATGTCAGGTCTGTATCCAGTAAGTGTTTGGCTGTTTTATGTTTTGTCTGAAATATTTCCAGTAAAATGACTGGTTTTGTATTAGTGACGTCCATGTTAGTATTTTTGATTTCTAACCTTGCTGAGCTCCAGTTTCAGCTCGTACGAATCGCTGCCAAGTTGGAAGAGGGACTTTTTAAATCTGTCAACGAGGCGCCGTCTGAAGTTCTGGTGCGACGCTGGTGGAAGCTGGAAATGAAAGGAGTTAACGTCGACACGTTCACAGAGAAGTGATTTCAGTGCTTGATGTGACTCTGGCAGCAGTAAAGGAAACGGCTGCACCTGAGTGATGAAGATGAGTTTGTGCAGCTGCTTCAGCAGCTTCTGGATCGGATCGTCGATCTGTCGAAGCTTCTTCTGGGACACACAGATCCCCACTGACGCTGAGGTAAACGCAAACAGAACATCTATTATAAACTCTGTGTCATAAACAGATTTAAAAAGCAGACGTTGAGGAAGTACCTGGTCTTTGTTTCATCTTTGAAGCTGTAAAATCCTCACTGAGAAAAAAGAAAATTAAAAAAAGCTCAGCAGGGTTCTGTTTATAAAAAAGGCTCATCAAAAAGATGGATTAGATGGATTCTGCTCGAGTATTAACGCTGTGAAGCGTTTTTCCTCTTACCTGTCCACAGTTTGATCAGGTGTGGGACTGACATCCGATTCTGTGCCTTAAAACAGGAAAAAGACAAATAATACAATTTTTTTTTAATTAAAGGAGCTAAAAGTGAATTGTTACAGTTAAAAGACGCAGAACACAAGATGAAAATCCAGTACACAAGCTAAAGGATAAATGTAGCAAAGGGCTAGCCAAAAGCTAAGAGTAACAAAAAGTAAGTAAAACTAAAACAACAAAATGGCAGTTAAAAGTAGCTAAAGTCTAGCTAAAAGAAGCAAAAGGCTAGTTAAAAGTTAAAAACAAAAGAAAAAAACTGGCTGAAAGTGGCAACCATACTAGCTAAAGCTTCAATATAAATGGTAGCTAAAAGCTAAAAGTAACAAAAGGCTGGCTAACCCTAAAAGTAGCTGTAGCTTAAATTAGCAGAAGGCTACATCAAAGCTGAACATAGCAAACAGCTAACTAAAAGGTAAAAGCTGAATAGTAGTTAACAAGTAAAAGTAGCAATAAAAAGACAACATTTAAAAGTTTTAGAGTATTTCTTTGGAGAACATATTTGTAAATAAAGGTAATTTGTTTTCAAAAAGTTTAAAGTTACAGAAAGAGAAAGAAACCATTTTTAAAATAAACAAACGTTTAGTTTAATGAATGGCTAAAATACATAAAAACTGACTAGTTAGACAACAAAACAAAATAAAATAAAAAATCTGACTCAACTTTGACACAGTAAAGAAAGTTTAGAACTTAAAAAACAAATTAAACTTAATAAATTAAAACTGAAGAAGAGGAAGTTTTTGTTTTTACAACCATTAATCAGCGATGTGAATTAAGTGTTGTGTTCTTGTCCTGTCGTAACACACTACAACAAGTTGTCAGTTTTATTTATGATCTTGTATTAGAGGATGGGATCAGATCTTCACCGTGACTGATTCTCTGCTCGCTGTGGTGAAAACTGCCTGAAGCTGCAGAGCTTTGATCCAGAGAGTCAGACGCCATCGGAGGGTTTTCCTACAAAATAGGCAACACCTTAAAAACAATCCTCAAGTCTTAATACTTTTATACGTCTTTGAACTAAGTTCACCTGCTTTGATTGACAGCAGATCATCCTGCTGTTGTTCCTTTCCAGGAAGTACTTCTGAGCTCGTTTCCTGTCCCTGTCAGCTCTTCGTTGCAGTGCATTCTGGGAGGTGTAGAGTCCGTCCATCAGCCTCATCATGATGTCAGCAATCCTGGAGCTGACGGCGATGATGTCGGGCCTCTGGTCGGGATCTGGACTCAAGCACCTGACAGAGAAGTAGAGGGAACAATAACTTGAGCGACCTGCAGCGACGCAGAGCCTCCGCTGAGGGTGAAGTCTCACCATCTGATCATGTCTGTGACTCTCTCTGAGAAGACTCCTTCTTCCACCGGCTCGTAGACGGCCTCGACAATCTGTCAGTCAGAGGAGATCAGACACTGACGGCAGAAATCGTCTTTTACAGTGAAATGTTTGTTTGCGTCACCTTGCTGGCCAGAGACAGCATGTTGCTGCTGTAGAAAGGAGGCTGTAAGGTTGTCATCTGGTACAGGACACACCCCAAAGCCCAGATGTCAGCTTTCTCCCCGTACGGCTCGTTTTTTACCACCTCTGGACTAACAACACGCACAGACGTTGAGATTATTGCACATGAAACACCACCATCCCGGGGCCTTTTACAGCCGTAAAATCAACCTTTGTAACCTGAACCCCCCATGTGTGACAGGGAAACAGAGGGCGAGTGTCCATCATGTGTTGATCTTTCTTCTTGGAACTAAATCTCTTCCTAACATTTATCAAAGTAAGTTTAGGACTGAATTATAATAAAACATTATTTTCTTGAAAAATGACACTAAAGTTCAAAAACCCCTTTCAAGTCCTCACCACAGCCCAACCCTGTGCTCGTTAATATTTACACAAATCAGTTTACTTTTTATTTTTAAAGATAAACAAATAATGACAGAACAATAAATGTGTTTGATAAAAAAAAACATTATACACATTTTGTAAGAGGTTATTTGACAACAATAACAAAAAGAGGCTTTAATACAGTTAATTTTAAACAGTGGACCCAGGACAGTTTTTGGCCACGTTTATTGAACATTGCTCTCAGCCGTTAAGGGCGAGCAATGTCTGTGCATTTGTCTGTTAGCAAAATATCTCATAACCACTTGATGAAGTTTAGTGAGCATCCCACAAAGTAATTAAATTACCTCTACTAATCAACCTTCTGAGCGCTAACAGATCATTTAAAACCTTTGTTTTAAACTTGTTTAAACGTGCATGTGGTGGATGAAATGGATTCCTTCAAGGAATGGTTGTTTTTTGGGTGTTTTTGCAGCATCTGAAAGATTTCTGGCATTTGTAAACTTATTATCAATCTTTCAGTTATTCGTGCTCATGCTTGAACAGGATTCAGGTCAAAACGTGATGCCCGCTGGTTTAAATGAGTCCATTTCTTTTTTCAGGTCCTTTTTAGCTGAAAAAGCCTAAATGTTTTTATACACCATTTTTTCTTGTCGCTGCCAGATAAATTTCACTCCTATATCTGTCAGTAATGATCTGCTTTATTACTCATGTGGGACTTTTATTACCTTCTGAATGGAGTCACTAAAGGAGGCTTGGAAAATAAAAGAGCTTCCAACATTTTTCATTTTATGTAGATTTTGTAGGGGAACTGGAAATACCCTCCGTCTGTCTTGTGAGCTGGATACTTTAAAAAGTATGGGAGGTACTGGCTTCCATTTTGATATGTGGCTACATCCAGGTATAAGAAAGGTCATTTTCGAAAATGGGGTTTCCTCGTCAAAATCCAAGATGGCCACTGCCATGTATATGTATAAACTGGCCACCCCTAGCAGACAAAATTTTGCTTTCTAGTTTTAATACTGCTTAAACGTATAGTTTTCTTAAAGGACTGGGGTGGCTGAAGATTAATCTGTGGTGGTTAAGGCCACCATTGGCCACCCCCTTCCTCCACCACTGCACCTGGTTGTGGATAAAAGTGCTCCCTCCACTCACCACAATCTGTCACTCTGCGCTGCCTCGGACAAACAGGAAAAAAGAAAAACCTCTATTTTTCTCCACAGTGTAACTCATACCCACTTGAACATCTTGCACCAAAAACATTTAGGTTTTCTTGCATTCTCTGTTACAAACTACAAAAACATTCACTATTCAAATCTCTCAGCAACGGGTGTGCTGTTTTGGCAAACATTGAATTATTGTGCTGCAAGGAGCCATCTCAGAAAAACATTATATATATATTTAATATATTTCCAGTTGTGACATTTAGATTTTGGCTGAAGGTTCAGAAGTTTCCTCACCAGGAGTACAGGATGGTGCCAACCACTGAAACCAGCTCACTGTTCTCCTGTTTCTGCTTGGCGAGGCCGAAGTCGGCTTCAGGTGAAGGAAAAACAGACGTTTATCTCTTCCAAGCCGAGAACGCCAGAGTGAGATACAAATGGAGGTGATGGTTCAGACTCACTGACGGTGACTTTATCTCTCTCTCCGAGCATGATGTTGCTGGGCGAGAGGTCGCGGTGGACTATCCTCTTCTCCTTGTGCAGATACCTCAAGGCCAGACACATCTGAGGGGGAAATTAAAAGGTTTCCATTCAGACCAGTCTCACAAAAAAAGTTTTAATCTGTAAAGGTTTTATTCAGTGCTAGCTGGACTGTACATCGCTAAGACAAGGCAAGTGGACAAGTGACTTTATTTTGTCACATGACACACAGTTACTACGATAAAGAGGACAACCCTGTAGAAAAGACATTCTTTTACGTGTCAGAATTGGTGTAGGAACCAGTAAAAACCGTTTAACCTGTATGAATATGCTCCAGATTCTGTCTTCGGTGAACTGCTGCTGCTTCTCCTTCAGGGAGTTGAAATGCTGCGTGAGCGGCACGCCCTCAATCAGCTCCATCACTACGTAAAGCTTTTCACCTACAATGGAGACCACGATTGTTTTTTATTTTGTCGTGAACCTGTGAGGGCTTGGAAGCAGAAAAAAGGTTTCCTGCTCACCTTCTACAAATGTTTTGTAATATTTTACAATGTTTGGGTGAATCATCTAGGACGGAATAAGAACAATTGACAGTAAAAATACACAAAATAGCCATAAAGAACATTTTAAAGTTAAATTTTGGAGCTGTGCGTGCCTGTTCTTTGATGATCGTGAGCTCAGAAATGATTTTCTCCACGTTGCCGTCTCTGGACTTCTTGTCTTTTCCAAACACCGGGTTGTGCAGGTTCACCTCCTTCAGAGCCAGGAGGTTCTGCCCGCTCTGCTTTCGGACCTGTCATTACGAGTTTATAAACTGAGACTAACAAGATTTAACATAAATCTATAAAACTGACCGATCCCGATCAGTTGAAGTTGACAGTTGTCTGTTTGTTTTACCTTAAAGACACTTCCAAAGGCCCCGGACCCCAGATGGTCCAGTATGGAGTAACCGTGGATCACTCTGAGCGGAGGCTGGTTCTGATCCAGAGCATCGATGCTCGCTCTCAGACCGTCCAGTTCTTCTTCCTGTGATGAAAACACGTGGCTCTTTATTTGGTTGTAAGTTTATGAATCGTTCTGGAGAGGTGAGCTGGTAGAAGGAAGCTTTGTCTTACGGTGTAGAGTGAAACTGTGGTCTGCAGAAGCTCGTAGGCGGCGAGGTCTCGCACGTAATGTCCAACATCAATAAACAGCTCAAAGAGGTCTGTGGGAAAGAGCCTGGAAAGGACCAAACGTTACAAAACAGCTGTGAAGGTCATGGATGAGACTTATTTTAGTAAATATCCAACAAGAAATAATCTTAAAAAGACTCCTGAAAGACATAAAGTTAGATTATTTATTATTTTCTAAACTTTAATGGAGGAAAACATTAAGATTTTAAATTAACCACCTAAAATATGCTGCAAAATGGGAAATTTGAAAACTCGAATCACCGAACTGTCTGTCAAAAAAACAAAACAACACCCGAAAAACAGGAAGTCTAAAGTTTTTCAAAATAAAACAGGAAGTGTGCTTGACCAGAACATGATATTTGAAACAGAGGAACCAGAATCTAAAGACAAAACGTGGAAACGAGCTGCCGTTACCTTTTAAACAGATGTCTGTTCATTTCCACACTGAAGAGAAATCGGAGGGTGCGGAAGGCGTAGCGCTGCAAGAAGCACCAACAAATGTTTTATTTTCTGACTAAACTTTTGTTTTCACATTTGATCGATTACTTAAAGCATCTACCTGTAAGGAAGTGGCCTTTGGTTCATTGACTTGTGGTAAAATGAACTTCGAGATTATATAGACTCCATTTTCCTGAAGAAAACAGAACCCTGATGATGAGTTTAGGTAATTTATTTGATGCTAATGATTAAATTATCTATTTTTTTAGATAAACATATTTCACCTGAACGATGAGATGAGCAGAAGTGTCGTCCAGACTCAGCTCGGTCAGCGCTGTACAGCACGCTTAAACACAAGAGCAAAGAACTTCAAGGAATGCACGTCACCCGCCAGCTTGCACGTCAGAGTTAACAGTAAGAGCTCAGACTGTGAGCAGGGCATGACTCTCAGCAACTACCACACCAGATCTGACCTGAATATCTGTAAAAAATGTCTTAGTTGCAGCCCTTTGGTGTTTGCTGCTGCCGCTCAGCTGTGGCGGCCATTTTAAATCAGCTTTACTCTGAATGTACGTCAAATTAATTTAATTTTTAAGAGTTTGTTAAAATCTGTCTAGTAGTTCACGAGATATTTTGCTAACAGGCGGACAAAAAACACGTGCGAACAGACAGAAGCAGTTACATTATTGCTCGCCTTTCACGGCGACGGGCGATAACAAAGACCAACTATAAATGTCTTTGTCACAGAACTCAGACTGAACACTGAAGCTGCAGAAATGTAAGATCTGTAGTCTTTCTTCACTGTGGTAAGTATTCCTGAGAGTATTTTCAGGTCCAGTTTGGTTGTTTTCTTTTATTCCGCTGTAATTAGGTTCACACACAGGAAATTTACAACCACTTCCTTTTCAGACCTCCGTCGACCGCCTCGTTTCAGGAAAAGTCTGTTTACATTCCCATCTACTGATAAAAATGATCTGCAGGGGAAATCGTCTTTGTTCTGTTGTAGTTTATTTTATTTTTAATACCCTTTTCATAACTTTTGACTAAATGTATCAAAGTCATGATGAAGTTCTGCGTGGAGTGGCTCCTGACCTGACTGCAGGGCCAAAGCGTTGTGGTTCTCCTCGTTTGGGACGAGCTCCTCGGTCGTCTGCTCCCTTAGGATGCGACCGGAGGCGCCGGCGTCGGAGAACGTCTGGACGACGGAGCGATCAGAGGCGTACCGCCTGTCACTGACAGATAAGATTGGTCACGTAGTCGGTCAAGTTAAATGTCGTAATGATGATGACACACAAAAAAATCTTTTTACACCAAACGAGAAAACAGGAGAGCATTTGTTTCAAAACCTGAGAAGTTACAAGTCAAACCAACTTTGCTTGTAAACAACTTTAACAACGTGCTAAAATAAACTCCAAAAACTAAAACTGGAAGAAAAAAAAAAAAATCACGTAAAGGAAAAGAGAATAGACAGAAAATTTAAAGTAAAGAAAAAGTAATAAAATTTAAAATGTCAAATCTGTTCATTTTAAGTTCAAGTTCAATTGGTTTTATTATCATTCGCATCACATGTGGTACATGAGGTGGAATGAAATTATGCACGCAGGGTCCCAGTTCCACCCAATATAAAGTGTAAAACAAAACACTAATAAGGATTTATACGCTAAACTAAGAAATATGCTAAACACTAATATTGCAACATTTTAATTAAAATTTTAATTAAAAAAATAAGAGCATAAGTGTGCTCTAAAGTGCTATTTCTACTATTGTGAAGTGGAGTTCTTTAGAAGAGCCATGAACATTTAATATTTTCCCTGTTACAGCTTTTCAAATGACCACAGCCTGGAGAAAAATATTCTGACAGCTCTGATGAGCTAATGGCTAGTCCGAATGAGGGAAAGGCCAAAGTGAAATTATTAGTTTTGCTTTAGAAATAGCGCTGGTCAGGGTAACTAAAAAATAGCTCCCTATGTGCCCGGATGTCTGGCAAACAGAACTTTGAGTATAATATACAGCGCTGTAGTCGTGGCTTGCACCGATAAAAAACATCAGAAAAATTGTATCTAAGAAGTCTGTCGACGTTCATGCTCGATAACTCAGGTTTAAATCCAGCAATATTCAGTCAGGTCCTCTGGATGGTTTCTTTTTGTTGAAGCGTTTCATCTTTCATCCAAAAGACTTCTTCAGTCTGAGGAAACACAACAAACTCAGTCCCACAAGCAGCACACTCACATATAGTGGACCAACCAGTTTGATGGTGATAAGATGGTTTCTGGAGTCCGCCCTCTCCCCCGCCGAGGCAGCCATGGCCAAAATGGTTCAAAACATCAAAGTTCATGCTCAATAATCCAGGTATAAAATCCTGGATTTTTAAAAGATTTAAAAGATCCCAGAGTTAAGAAGCTAACCAGGTTGTGTCAGGTCCTCTGGACGGATTCTTCTTTGTTGAAACGTTTCGTCTTTCATCCAAAAGACTTCTTCAGTCTGGAACCTAAGAAGGTTGTACGAGACTTATACTAGTGACGGCCGACATGCTGACAAGTCTCATACGTAAGGTATTTTGGGTTGTTGTAGTTTCCAAAGCCGATTACTCGGAGACAGAAATGTGACTGTTGGATTTGTTGGCTTCGAACAGGAGCGCTTCCATCTGTTTGAAACATTTTGTTGGAGGGAACGGGCCGACAGAGGAGCACCCGGACGCCGTACCAGCGACTGCAGTCCCTGAACAGGTCTGTCCATCCATCCAGTATGTTTGACACACTTTTTCCTTTCATGTCAGCAACTAACAGAACTAAACGACTGTTTCAACCCACCCGGACTAATTTCTCTTTAGGAGCTTAATTCGGCTCCTGTTCAGAACATTGTTGCGTTTGAAACGTAGAGTAAAAGTACTGATTGCCAACAGCTATCAGCTAAAACTGGCTGACAAAGTAAAAGAGAAGAAGCTCTTCATCCTGCCACTGAAAACCTGCGCAATACATGGCGATCCAACGGCATGCACCGTGCACGAAATCTTCTGTCGTCCGTGCTCTTTTTCACCGAGGCAAAAAAGCACGAATCGGCACGGAAACACCAGGAACGCCACACGTACCTTTTTATCAATTCAGCCCAGTTGCTGGACGCTACATTGTAGCCAATGTTTGAGCTGTGGATTATTGTCTCCTCCGATGAAGTTCAAGTCGATTCTGGCCCCGGGAACGTCGTCTTCGTTTACGTTTACATGGACAAAAGCATTGGAGGTGGCCAAATATGCATGCAGTGCATTGCATTGTTTGCCAGACATCCAGAACTTTGGAGATCTCCTGAAATTCTTGCGACGTCATCACTGATCAACGCTATTATTTTGGAAGAAATATGAAATTCAGGCTGGAAATGCTACAGCTAGCTGCAGCTGTGTCCATTTAAGCTTGGAAACAAATGTAGAATTCTAGGACAAACATTGGAATCAGTGTAAAACTATGAAATTGTGTTGAAAAGAACCCCTACAATATTTTCGATCTGTATTAGAACAGAAGGAGGTCAGTTGGACTGTGAGCTTGTCTGTCCTGTCAGATTTAAAGTTTGGAACTTCAGTACCACCTCAGTCCATCCAGAAGTCATACAGAGGTGGGCAGAAGGCATCTAAGTCCCGGCTTGAAGCGTTTTGTGAATGTGGCTTTTGTTCCTCCAAACTGAGGTGGCTCAAAAAGTGATCTGCAACAGGTAAGACACTAACTGTTCATAACTTTTTCCACAGGCTCCCACTCTAAAAATGACTGAAATATCACTTTCACCTATATAAGGTGCACATGTTACTTTAAAATAAGGGCTTTGGACTGAAAAACAAACTACTGTAGGAAGCTGAAGTCTGAACCTCTCATCAGAAAGACCTACCTGCTGAGCAGTCGGAGGAGCTGCTGCACTCCCCCCCAGCTCTGGATCTCTGTTCTGGTGTCAGGATCCTCACAGAGCTGGACCAGGACCCAGGTGACGCTCCACAGCAGCTTCAGGTTCCAGCTGTGCAGGAGGCTGAGCAGCACCGGTACTCCCTCCAGCTCCTTTAACTGGAGCCTGACATGTTGGACCGGAGACAGAAGCCTCAGCAGCTCTGCGCTCATCCTGGAGGGAACAAGAGTCCTGAACGAAGGTTTTTTAATTCAACCTTTATTTCTACAGGTTGGTCTCATTGAGCCTCGAGGACTCATTTACAAGAGAGACCTAAGCATATGAAATGAAAAGTACATGGAAGAAGTGATATAAAAACAAAACAAAAGCAGCTAAATTAGAAAACTATGTAAAACACTAAAAACAGGAACATGTCTGCGTTAGTTTTTCCTCGTGAATTTAGATGTTTGAAGCCACTTAGAGAGGTCAAAGGTCGAGAGCTTCAGATCTTTTTACAAGATATTCCAGGAAACAGAAGCGGAGTAGGAGAAGGTCCTTTTGTCTAGTTCAGTCCTCACTGAGGGAACACTGCAGGTAATAATGTCCTGAGAGCGCACGCTGTAGCTGCACTCACACAGAGACATGTAGGAGGAGATGTATGAAGGCAGCAGACCAGGAAGTGATTTAAAGATGAAAATATACCAGTGAGAGAGTCTGTGAAGTTAATGGTGACCAGTTAACCAGTGAGTACAGGGAGCAGTGATGAGTACGGTAGTTACAGCCAGTTATGAATCTTAGCAAACCATGGTAGACAGCATCCAACATCTGCAGGGTTCTGGTAGGGGCTGAGCTGGAAGTGGTCCAGATGGTTCTTTACAGCACTGTCCCACTTTAATATCAGCTAAAACTGCAAAGATTACATTCAGTGTGAGCACTGAATGAGTGCTGAAGAAGCTAAAACCAAATTGTTAAAGCTCATAGAAGCAAAACACTAGCTAAAAGTCAAAAGTAGCAAAACGCTAGCTAAATGTTAGCTGGGAATTAAAGAAAACAAAAGGCAGGTTAACAGTAGTAGAAAGCTAAAAATAGCAAAAGGCTAGCTAAAAGACAAAAACTGAAAGTTTGCTGAAGCAGATAAAAAAACCAGTAAAGAAACAGAAAAGATCTCAATGTGGCTCGATGAGGAAAATGTTTGTAAATAAAATGAAATAGTTTGAAAAGTCTTAGGACTTTCAAACCTTCAGATGATCTCGGTTGTGTTAACGCTGAAGCCACATTTAAACAACTAAAATATTTATTTAAATATTTAATCAGGTCTCTTGTAAATGAGTCCTCGAGACTCAGTGAGACTAACCTGTATAAATAAAGGTTGAATGAAATGAATATTTAGCCTCAGAGAAGAACTGGACGATGATTTCTGACCTCTTTGACAGCAGATCATATTCCTGCAGGATTAGAAGCAGGTTCTCCACAATGTGCAGCTGCCCGATCTCCTTCTTCGACTCGGGACTAAAGAAAAAGTACGCTGCAACACATTACACGATGTTTGTGTTCAAAGCTTTATTTTAAAACTCTGCTTACCTCTCAGCTAAAGCAGTGAGGGCAAGCAGGGCTCCGTGCAGCACACCGCTGTCTGCTGCAGAGAGGAGCTGCACGAGAGTCTAGAAAAGAAGAAAGGCTGAATTATTCCCACAAACTGAAGCAACAAGATGTAGCGCCATACTGAGACGGGTGTTTTTTATATTAGTTTGATCCTACAAAGATGATTTCTCACCTTTTAGTGTGAATTTCTACCCATTTCAAGATGGCTGCCACAGCTAATCAACCTTTGTAAAACCAAAAACGGCTAAAACTCAGCAAACTGTACAAATACAGAGCTAAAGTTTGGTGTGGTAGTGGCTGTGCATGGTCCCCAACATATACTTTGAGTCCAACACATCGCACAACATCTTTGCCTAAAAACCTATTGGCGTTCACCCTGCTTGTCTGTTAGCAAAATATCTCATGGACCACTGGATGTATCTTAGTGAAACACTCAAAACGTAATAACTGGCTGTGTGTCGTTAAGTCGTTATCATTTGGAGACAACCCAACAAAACATGGCTGCCACAGCTAATAGGTATTAGCAAACAAAAAATGGCTTCAGCTCAGTCAGTTTTACAGAAATTGAGCTAAAATTTGGTCTGGTAGTAGCTGAGAGTTGCTCACAACACATATTTCGAGAATTGACAGATCACTCGAAATATCACACAAGATTTGACCAAAATAGGTGTAAGTAAATCTTTTCTCAACGTAAGATGATCTTAATGCTAGTGTGAAAGGCGGCGGGCAATATGCATTCCCCTTTAGGGTATTAAAGGACTTTTAATGTAATAATGTGTTTGATGTTAATGAACAATTACAGAGTTGGTGCAAAATTGATGTCCAGCCATTAATGGGGCAAAAGATTATCTGGTACTCCTGCTGAAAATCATTTATTAGTTTGGAAATATTTAGCCAGAACTGAAACTCTTCTGAAAGCTGCTGAAGTATCAGACCAGCCTGAAGGTAAAACTCACCCTGTGAGCGCCGCTCTCCACGACCCAGACCCTTTGGTTTTCAGTTGTCAACAGCTTCTGAAGCATGTCTGCAAAACAATCAGTACAGCTGCTGTGATGAGAAACAAAACAACTCTTGTTCTCAGATTTTCTTCTGCCATGCTGCCTGCAGATTCTCTGTAAGACCGAGTCCATGTGAGTGAATGAGAGGGAGGAGGTGGAACAGTGAGGCTACAAGGAGCAGAGGTCACAAAGGTGCAGGACTTCAAGGACTTGGGATCCACCAGGAAAATGGGGAGTGTGGTGAAGAGGTGAAGAAGAGAGTCCAGGCAGGATGGAGTGATGGAGAAAAGTTTCAGGAGTGATTTGTGACAAAAGGGTGTCAGCAAAGGTCAAAGGAAAAGTTTACAAGACAGTGGTGAGACCAGCTATGTTGTATGGTCTGGAGAGAGAGGCATGGACAAAAAGACAGGAGACAGAACTGGAAGTGTCAGAAATGAAGATGCTGAGGTTCTCCTTAGGAGAGACAAGGATGGAGAAGGTCAGGAATGAGATCATCAGAGGTACAGCACAGGTTGAACAACTGGGAGATGAAGTTAGAGAGGACACACTGAGATGGTTTGGACATGTCCAGAGGAGGGACGGTGGTTTGGACATGTCCAGAGGAGGGACAGTGGGTATACTGGTAGAAGGATGTTAGAAATGCAGCTGCAGGAAAAAGACAGAGGAGACATATGGATGCAGTTAGAGAGGACATGGAGGTAGTTGGAGTGAGGACAGAGTGAGATGGAGGAAGAACTTGTTGTGGAGACCCTGAAGAAGGAACAGCTGAAAGAAGAAGAAGACGATGCCTCCTGCAGATTACTCACAGGTCATTGTTACGAGCTGCTGCGCAGCAAGCGCCTGCTCACCACAGGACATGTACTCGACAGTGACAGACTCCATGACCTGCACAGAAACAGGAGGTTGAAAAAGAGCAGCGTGAAATAATCTGGAGTTTTCTGAGCAAATAGAGAAAATCACAGAGTATTTACCCTGGAAAGTAAACTGATGCCTTGAAGCTGATGAAACAGTTTCTGAAAAAATAAATAAATAAATTGTAGTGAAATGCATAAAAATATATACAGTATATATTTTCCCAGTTTGTACCTGATAGTTTGGATCTCTGATCAATAACCGGAGGCAGATGAGAACTCTAAGGACTGTCTCGGGTGGTGCAAGGTCAATCCATTCACTTTTAAATAAAAAAACATGGTCGTTAATTTATTTATCTGGCTGTAAAAATAAAGAAATGCTTGAAGATAGTTTACCTGCAGAGTCGATTCCTGACTAAAGATGTAAGAATATCCGAGAAGAGTTTATTCAGAGGGTGGCTGCTGAAACATCTTTGATCTTTGTAAGTTATGCTGCAAAGATTTTTATAGTTAGGATTATAAATAAATCTCTACAGGACTTTAAAACAATCAACAAAACTAAGTTTAGCTCTTCTAACAATGAGCATATGGAAGGCAGGAGACCATTTTTTAAAGTGTAAACGGAACAAAAATATGATCAAATTTAAAAAGATGAATGTTTGGAAACTAGTCAGATGGTTCCTAATTTAAATCAAAGTTTTGACCCTTTTTTTTCAGTTAAGCATAAAGTTGTTGTTTCAACAATTAATATCTCAGCTTAGCTCTAGCAATTTTGGGTGAATTTACCAAAACATATTTATGAAACTAAGCTACTTCATCTAAAGTTGGAGTGGAAAAACAGTAAGAAAACAAAAATGTACCGCCGCACTGTAAAAGTTGATCTAATTAAATTAATTAATTCAACCTTTATTTCTACAGGTTAGTCCCATTGAGCCTCGGGGACTCATTTACATGAGAGACTTGAATTTTAACAAAGAGTGATGACAACAACGACAACAATAGACAATCATAAAGGATGCGTAGTAATTTTTTATTTAAACAAATGAAAATAAAATGGTAATTAAAAGAAGAATTAAAAGAAAAAGTAGCAATAAAAACCAGCTAAGTTGTAAGGCAGTGTAGAAAACTAAAAACAGGAATAAGTCTGCATTGGTTTTTGCCAGGAACTTAACAGATGTTTAAAGGCACTTGGTGTGTGAAATGACATCTAACATCTGACTGATAAAATGACCAAACAGGTCACAGTGGATCAATGAAACGAGGAGTGGAGGAGAGAACGAGGAGGAGGATGTTGTGCCCCTTCCTGGGTGCACAACAAAGTATTTGCAGCCACTCCATATCAGTGTGAATCGTGTATTAAAGTGACACTCGCAGTTTGGTGGGAGGCTTGGATGACTGGTGGCAAGAAATCATTGGCCAAAACTGGCGACATGCAAAGAGCAACTTCTGCTCCAGTCTGCCAGAGGATGCTGACAGAGGAGCAGTTTTAAAAATCCTCCGCAGGAGGAAGATGAAGATAGCGATCAATGACTTCCTGGTAGGCTACTGTATTTTTTTTAACCAGCCGTGTTACCGGCACTGTTCAGAAAAATACTTTTACTGTACATATATGTGTATGTTAACGGTACGTATTTAATCAAGAGTTTAAAAAAACCCTTTCTGTGTAAATGTCTCACGTTACAACATGGACACCCGTGGCTTATACACAAGTGCAGCCTATATATATATATATATATATATATATATATATATATATATATATATATATACACACCCAAAATTATTATTATTTTTTAAATGTGGTGGGTGCGGCTTATATTTGGGTGCGCTCAATAGTTCAGACAATGATTGAGCATGAACTTTGTTACAGTAGTTACCGGTATTTGCTAAAGGTTGCATTCATTTCTTACAACTATAGGCCATGGCAGTAGTTGGACGCATCACAAACGATGAGTCCAGCTACAAGCAGGAGGTGGAACACCTGGAAAACTGGTGCAGGAAGAACAACCTTCACATCAATGTGAAGACAAAGAAGATGGTCGTGGACTTCAGATGGAACAAACACACCTACCCCCTTGAACATAAGAGGATCTGCAGTGGAAGTGGTCTCCAGCTACAAGTACTTGGGTGTGCACCTGAACAACAACCTCAGCTGGAGCAACAACACCACCAGCCTGATGAAGAAAGATCATCAGAGACTCTACTTCCTCAGACGGCTGAGACGAGCTGGTCTGGAAGCTCAGTCCTCACCTCCTTCTACAGGTGTGCAGTGGAGAGCATCCTGTGCTCCAGCATCAACATGTGGCATGGAGGCTGCACAGCTGCAGAAAGAAAAGCTCTGCAGAGAGTGGTGAAGGCTGCACAGAAGATGTTGGAGTCAGTCTCCCCACCATCACAGACATCTACACCTCCAGATGCAGGAAGAGGGCCACCTGCATCATGAAGGACCACACTCACCCAGCACACACACTTTTTGCTCCGCTCCTCTCAGGCAGGAGGTTGAGGAGCATTAAGTGTAGAACCACTAGACTGAGGAACAGCTTCTACCCTGAGGCTGTTACACTCATCTTGGAACAGGCTTAGAACGAGAAGTGGGGTTTATTTTATTTAATAACGCACAACTGAATTGGAAAGTTTGAGCTTAATTTGTTGACTTGACCAAGCCTCATATTATATTATTGACAGAAATAACCTGAATTTTTCCAGTTCAGAAGCTTCAGCGCTGATGTCGCTCCCACTCCTCTGTCTGCTGGTGTGTTTTGGAGAAAAGCTGCTGGCTCCACTCTGACTCCATGTTGACACCTGCAACACAGGGAGTCACAACAAATACACACATCTGACAGCAGAAATATGAGCTGATACATTTTTCAAACGTGTGTCTAGACAAGCTGCCAGAGTGTGGCGTCATCGTGCGGTTTCTCACCTGTCTGAAGCTGCTTTTAGCAAGCAGGGACTGGAGCCTTCTGAGATCATGAGCAGCGCTGGAAAACAGACTTAATGTGTGACTTGTTTTCGTCATGTCAGGGAGATCCGTTTTAAATGGTGGAACAAAACGTGAGGAGATGATGGCCCAACTTACTTGGTCTGGATTCTTGTGGATTTCAGAGGCGGTTTTTCCTCTGGCCTCACTTTTTTACCCAACTTGAACATTTTATCTTTTATATTTGCTTCCGTGAGGCACCTGTGGTAAAAGTAGGCACATTTTATTGTGTGCGTGTTCACTGATTCAGCTTCACACTAATGTTTAGTATGTTTTTATTTTGTTTTGTAATCTGCTCCTGCATATATTGTGCTATTTTAGCCTTTCGTAAATCAAAACGTTCCGCTCATTCAGGAGATGGCTGCGACTTCTGAATATAGTTAGTGAATATATATATAGTGAATATAGTTTTTATACTTTACAAATATTTAACTTTATTCACAAATATTTGAAGTTTCTTTTAAAATGTGTTTATTGAAAACTGCTTGTTCTGTTTTTTGTCTTCTTATACTCCTTTTGGCTTTTAGCTAGCTTTTGCTACTTATAGCTTATAGCTACTGTTCTGTTATTTTTAGTTTTAAGCCAGTCTTCTGTTACTTTTAGCTTTCATTCTGCTTTTTGCTATGTTTACATTTTAGCTAGCATTTAATGTTTTTAGCTAATCTTGTAATACTGTACTTTTCTAGCTAATGTTTACTATTATTAGTTTAGTTAGCCGTTTGTTACTTTTAACTAGCATTTTACTACCTGTAGCTTTTAGCAATCATTCTGCTAGTTTCAGCTTCAAACTAGCTAACTGCTTTCAGCTAGCTTTTTGTAACGTTTAGCTTCTAGCTAGTTCTGCTACCTTTGGCTTTTGGCCTGCCATTTGCAACTTTTAGTCAGTCTTTTGATATTTTCAGCTAATCTTTTGCTACTTTTACATTCAAGGTATTTTAGTTTAAAATTAGCCTTTTCATACTTTTAGCTTGTAATTAGCCTTTTATTACTACTAGCGTTCCCCAGCATTTTCATACTTTAGCTGTAACCTTTGCTGTTTTTAGTTTCAACATAGCCTTTTGATACATAACTTGTGGCTAGCCTTTTATTACTATTAGGGTTTAGCTAGGTTTTGCTGCCAGTAATTTGTCAGTTTTAGCTTTTATTTAGCTTTTTGCTACATTTATCTGGTTTTAGCTAATCTTTTAACACTTTACCTTTTACCTAGCCTTTTACTGTTAGTTTTAGCTAGCATTTTCTTACTTTTAACTAACATTTAGCTATTTATAGTTCTGTTATTTTTAGCTTCAAACTAGCCTTCAGCTTCTTTTAGCTTTTAGCCAGCTTTTTGATACTTTTCAGATAACCTTTGTCTACTTTTACATTTAAGCTAGTCTTTTACTATTTTGGCTTAAAACTAGCCTTTTACTTTTAGCTTTTAGTGAGCTTGTTACTACTAGCTTTTACCTAGCACTTGATATTTTAGGTATGTAGCCATTTTGCTATTAGGCTTTTTTTTTTTTTTTTAGCCTGTCTTCCGTTTTTTTTTTATTTTTAGCTCATCTAACAACTCATTTTCAGCTTCTTCTGGAAATTCCAGCAAGCATTCAGACTATTTCCACAGAAAATCCTCCTTTTTTGTTTGTATTTTTCCTTTAGCAAGAGATTTAACCACATTCATCAGAGATAATTACGTTAAAACTAGCTTATTTGTGTTTGGCCAAAAGTTAACTTACCCGTTTTCCAGCATCCCAAACAAAATACAGTTAATTTGCATATCTAAACACAACCTTTGCCTCTAAAATTCGGGGTCAGGAGCAGCAAACATCCCCGTTTTAACATTAACGCTCATTTTTCTTCGTTTTAACCAAGCGAGCGTTGTTGCAGTCTCGGTTGCTATGGATACAACAGACGCTTACTGCCGTCTGTAGCTGTCTGTCTTAACGCTAAGTTCACGTTTGACTTTGAGTTGAACGAGTTATCACAAAAGTCAAACAAATCGAAGAGTAAAATAAAATAATATCGACTAATAATATCGCCCCTTTACTAAATATTATGACGATGAACGTATAACGTCACATTAATTTAAATGTAACTGTACGTGGACAAATTTCGCGTTTAAATTAAAAAAAAAAAATCGACGCTAAATTAGCATTTCACCGAGAAATTTAAAATGTTTTGATATTTTTCCTCACATTAACGGATGCGGTTGTGATTATCGCGATATCAAACAGACACTCAAAGAAATTTGATGATATCGCGAGATTACGCGTTCCTCCCCTTGTTGCCATTCGCGTACAGTTTACGTGAAATTTTTGTCGTATGCCTTTTAAGTGCGCGAGGTCTTGTGTAACTTATTGTGCGTAACTCGGGCTGTAGCGCGAAGGGGGAATGTCGGCTCGTGAATGATCGGTGGTTGAGGCGGCAGGAAAGCGTTAACGTTATGGGTAAGACTGCCACTGTCAGCTCTTCTTACATCTTATCGAAAAATCTCGTTTTAAGTTATAATGGTGATATTTTAACTTAGATTCGGTTACATTATTTAAACAGTTTGTGTAGCTTGAACAGTTGGAGCAACCAACGCCCAGTCCGCCTCCAGTTGGATGGGCTGCTAGCTGCTTGTTAGCTTCGCTAAGGCTGCATAGCCTAACGGGAGTGTCATTTCCTGTCTTCTACTTTGTAACAAAGTAATTAAGAAAACGCCTGTACCCTTTTTTTTAACTATCCGAGCAGAGTATACTAATCTCCAGTTACGATTTCACGTCGCTGTGTTTAAAAAATTGTCCTGAAAAATGGCACATTTTTTTGGATACCTAGCTTATTTAGCTCCAAACAAGTTACGTGCAAATTTAACAGGAAACAGAACTGTTGAGTTTCTACAGAAATTGTCACACATTAGTCGGCAGAAATGTGCTGAGGGTCGCTTCAAAATGCTTCTCGATATGAAGTGATAGTGAAATCGATGATTTTGAGTAACTTGAGCATTAAAGTATACAGGCAGACAGACCTGGACGATTTCAGGTTAGACATAAGGAGGTTACAGATGCCATCTAATCTGGATTACAGTGGATCTAGCACCTGATGGTTCATGCTTTGACTTCAGCTCTTTTGTACCCAATGTTAGGGCACACTGCACCCTTTTTCTTTTTCTCTTTCGAGCTGAAGTATCATTTTAACCATCTTAAATCTGCATGTTAAACACACTGAACTGGTACCTCAACTTCCTTATAGCAAAACCTTTCAAACACAGCCGGAAAAGAAATTTGATAATGACAGCTGAGATGATGACTAATAATGGGTTGTTAGGTTACCTATTTCACAATTCTTTTCATCACAATTCTTTTTTTTTTTTTTCTTCTCCATCAACTAGAAGAGGTCATGTGTGCTGTGTGGTACTACTCAAACTGATCCTGTAGGCGAATCAGCATATCAAATCCTAGAATCACACAGAAAACATGTGGGTTGCTGTTGGCAGGCAGAAGATGTTTTGGCATAAGAAGCAGGAGTCCTTTTCTAGTCACGGGCATAAAGAAAAGGCTGCAACAATGAGTGGACCTTGTTTTATGGCACAGCTGACATTAAAAGAGCAAGCGGGGTGGAATATGTACAAGTCTGGCCTGTTGTTATCATCATTTGGATCCAAAATGAATTTCCCCCAGGCTTCTTGCCTCAGGAAATAGGACTTGGAGACAGAATAGTTCGTCAAATGACCTGTTATTGATTCTGTTTTTGTTATTGATTCTGTTTCTTTCATGTGTTTTGTTTTTGTGACCCCGTGAACACTGGATTTGTCTGTACTCTGGAACAACATTGATCAACACAGCTGTAAGTATAAAAGGGCTTGCTTGTTTTCCCAAATAACTGCTTTTCCCATGTTTGGAAAATGTATTTCTTAATACAAATAGAAAGGGTTAAGTTTATTGGCTTTTAACATTTAAGGCCAGACACACAAAACTAAATCATTGTAGATCACAAAACACCAGGTTTGAGGTCTACAATCGTAAATGGCATATTTTAATTGTTGTGTTACAATAGACAATAATCATAATAAAAAGGTGATATAATGAGTTTAAACTAATTTGGGTTGCATTGCCCGTTTTTAAGCAATGTTTGTGTAGTTCAACCAGGATATTTGAGGTTGCAAGTCTTTAACATCATTAATTTGAGGGTCATAAACTAAAATGTCTCAGCCACTGTTCTAGATTATCCATCGGATAAATCTTTTTGTTATTTGTAAAGATATTTGGTCACATTAGCAATATTTATTTTAGATTTTTTGGCCAACTTTGAATCTGCTAAGTGGAGTTTTCAGGAGGGGTATTGTGGAATATTACGGCTGAGATTGTTCATTTTAGCCATTGTGAGGAAAATAGGAAATGCAAAATAAAGAAAATAAATCTGTTTTACAGCAACAAAAGAACCTGGATGGATATGTTGGCTTTGCAAGCCTTCCCAACCAAGTGTACAGGAAGTCTGTCAAGAGAGGCTTCGAGTTCACCCTGATGGTCGTGGGTAAGAAAACACGCCACTGAGCACTCCGTTTACTCTTGTTTTGCTTGAATCATTTCATTGTTTTCTATGCGGTTGGCATTTTTGGTTCTTTACTGTGGTTCCTTTAAAATATATGTGTATATAATTACAAATGTATGTGTAACATGATATTTATGCACAGGGGACAGACCCCCAGCTTTGAAGTGTTAATTTCTTACTCATGGAGGATTTGGGCATTGCATTTCCTCTTTGTTTAAACTTTAATCTCTGTCAGGGCCTTGACACTGTCTCACAGACAAGAAACATTTGGTTTGAGTTTATCTAGAACTGCACTCAGCAAAACAGAAATGCACACATTTTTTAAATGCTTGGATGTGGCTGTTGACTCCGGTCCAAGATATTCCATGGCCCTATTTGGAGGGAAAACGTGTCCCAGGGTCAAAACCATTTCCTGTGGCGGGACACACAGAGTTTGTGCTCCACAGGCATCGAAGAACTTGATGTTTTGTTCACAGTGCACAGTTTCTTCAAAGTGTTCAAGTGCTATTTTGATTAGTAGGATGTTGCTTCCTCCTTTTCGCTGTAAAAGCTATTGGACAGTGACCAAGTCTGTGAATGGCCAGTTGGGTTTTGACAAATTGCTTCATTTTGGGAATAATGGCTTAAAAAAATAAGTGTCATTGCAACAAGGACAGCAGAGGAGATCCTCTGGGCTTTCTGGTATTGAAATGCATGCCATTGTTTCACTCACATACACACACACATGCAATATTCAGCTGCTCTTGGCTTTGATTAGCTGCAGGCCCACGTGTCCCCAGAGTTCCCACATGCGATGTGTCACCGGTGGGGTGTGAAAGAGGAACAGAGGAAGAGAAATCAGTCAGTGGCTGGCACATCGATGAAACACGTGACCCACAACCTGTTCTCTCATTGTGGAGCAGCTCTTTTCAGCGCTTTCTCAGCACTTCGTGTTGCAGTAAATTTAATAAGCACATACAGTAGTTACAAACCTCACCGAATATGTCGAGCTAGTGCCGCACGTCTCCCTTTGACTGTAACTCTGGTATAAACACTGCTTGGTTAAATATTGACTCCTGGCCATGAGCCAAGGCAGGCAGTGCCAGTGGTCATTTCCACTAATGATTCTTTTCACTGGGAGCTTGGAAACAGAGGACACAATGGTCAGCAAAGCTTGAGAAGACTCAGACCACACAGCCAGTCAGCAACACAGAACAAGAGCCATTGTTTCCTTAACTGTTTAACCCAAATAGATTGATATCTTTGGCAAAGATCGGCCACATCCCCTGAAAGGCTCATGATCCTTGTTTGACCACTGATGGCAACAATAAACCTTAACACTTGATTCCAGATATGCAGTTATTTACAATGTGACATTTTAACCTCTGCAAAAAGATCACAAGTCGGCGTGCTCTTAAAACATGTTTGTTTTTTTCCAGGTGAGTCGGGACTGGGCAAGTCGACTTTGATCAATTCCCTGTTCCTAACAGACCTGTATTCAGCCGAGTATCCCGGACCTTCACACAGAATCAAAAAGACCGTACAGGTAACCTCAAAAACCTGTTAATTACAGGCTGCTGACCAACAATTAGCGTAGATGCTAACATTGAAAATGTCATAGAAAAGCTAAGGCGACGAGCATAATGTTCATTATTGGAAGTTTATACTCGAATCAAACATTTTAAAAGTAATTAATAAAGACAATCATGTTATGATAACATCAACTGGTATTGACGGATGTATATTCAGGGGTCCTTGAGGAAAATGTTTGAAAGATCCAACAAAACATTTAGACATGCACAGATTTACTGCAACATACTGTGTTTTCACTACAGGAAGCTCTGTAACCCACATTAACTGCTCTGCTGAGACTCCAAATGTGGCAGCACAGATTAACAATATGAATTTAACATTTGATAATTTAATCATACAGATGTCTGTAACTCATCTACAACTATATTTTACCTTCCACTCCTGGTTAGAATAACTATATTTAAGGTGCTTGTGGACCAAACAGTTTCCGGGCTCTGATTACGTTCATCTGAAGAGCTTCTTGAATTGCAACACGCCTTCTTTGATTGTATTAACACGACGTGTAGGAATCTGAGAGGATGCAACAATCAGCTAGCAAAGTAGTTATTAACTAAAGAAGTTGCTAAACTTGTCAATTTACAATAAATGTCTGAACCAATCACAAGAGGGAACAAACATTTATGAACAACTTGTCTGATTTTTTTTTTTAATGCAGCGCTGACCAAAACTGGGTTAGATGAACTTCTTATCTATATTTTTCTTGACTATACTGTAGTTTTTTGCTATTTGTTCCTCATTATAATAATAATGTATTGAACTTGTATGTTTTCTTAAATTTACTGCCTTTTTAAAATGTTGTCTTTGTTCTAAACAACTATTTTTGTTGTTTTAAGGTTAAGACGTGCTAGTTGAATAAAACTAAGAAATGAACAAATGGATAATGTGTTAAATGTAGGGACAATTTATTTCTTAGATGTCATTTGAGTATACAGAAGTTACTGAATGTGCTTTTAAAAGTTTGTTTTGTTGGACTTCTGCCTTGACGTGGTTAAAAAAGGACTCTGGTGGTGCCGTCTCTACCTTGGTGTTTTTGTTTGCAGTCCTGTGTTTTTAAACTCCGTCTGTCAGATTTGTGACTGACAGCAGCGATCTCCTGAGACGCTGGTTCCTCAGAACAGCTAGCTGAAAGCTCAGCGTGAGGCGACATGTCGCTGCACGCTGCTAAATGTTTTCTGCTGCAACATGCTGCCTGTAATGATACCCTCTTCCATGGATAATGATTTCACACTTTACATCCACGCTATGCAAAACCTTTGATTGCATTTCTTTGAGAGTGCAGTTTGTTTTGAGATGCGCTGTTCTTGTCAGAAGTTAATATTCTCTTTTTTTTCCCGCTCCTCAGGTGGAGCAGTCTAAAGTGTTGATAAAGGAGGGTGGTGTCCAGCTGCTGCTCACAATAGTTGACACCCCGGGGTTTGGAGATGCTGTCGACAACAGCAACTGGTGAGCACTGTCACATTTGTATCTCTGTGATCATGCGTAGCTTCTTTCTTGGTAATCTTCCATGCATTTTATAGAAATGGTGGATATTTGTTTCTTCAAACAAAGTGTAAATTGTCTTGTGCAGCTGGCAGCCGATCATCGACCACATAGACAGCAAGTTTGAGGACTACCTGAACTCAGAATCACGTGTGAACAGGCGACAGATGCCCGACAGCCGAATCCACTGCTGCCTTTATTTCATCGCCCCCTCCGGACACGGGTGAGTACAGAACATGACACTTTTTATGGAAGAACGACGCTCGTAAGATGCATCAATTATTTTCAAATTAAAGGCCGTCGATGGAAGAATGTAAAGGATGCAAATGACTGTGGCGAGAGGAAAAGGCTGGGAGGGGAAGAGTGTGAGAACAGTGACAGGATGTGGGCTGAGTGACAGCGTAAAGGGGGAATGCAGGGTCACTTTTGGTCCAAAGGTCACAGAAGTAAAGGTGACGGCTTCAGTTTGAGAAATCAGAATATCAAAGCTTTAACCTTCTGTTAACGTGTCCCTTACACATCTTTAGTTGCTCTGTAAACGTGTGCTCCTATTGATGCTACCTGCAGTATCTTTTGGACAAAGCTTTAACGACACGAGGGAGTCGGTTTGCCAACAGAATACGGGTTAAAGTTTGTGTCATATTAGAGTGGGGGGGGGGGATTTCATAGAGCTGGAAAAATACCAAGCAGATGAAATCGAAGTGTTTCAAAAAACAAATGACCGCAGGGAATTTTAATTGTGATGTTTGTTATTCAGAAGCCAACTTTTTTTTTAATTTAATTTAATTTATAAATGCTGAGATGGGAAGCTGACTTTATCTTCTAAGAAGTAAATTAGTTTCAAACACTCAAGTTCAAGAGCAGAAACTGAAAACCTTAAACGTTCACTTCCTTCCTGTATGAAACGCTGAGATAAATTCATGTAAATGAGCTTATTTCACTTTAAAATGGCAGCTTTAGTGCTGTTTTTGTTTTGTTGTAAATATTCAAACAGCTCGCTGTGTGTTCACACATGCTGTTCATCAGAGACGACAACCGTTCCCTTCTGTCCTCGTGGTTTTTATTTTTATTTGGGACGTTGTGTTTGTACAAGCCCGTGCTCTGTAGCCACACATGTATGACTGGAGCCGTCAGGATGGGCACCGTATGCTCTCATGGAGCGCCTCCCCTCGTCACGCCGGCTGACTGCTCCCACACAGCAGCACGCTGACCTCCACCATGAGCAGGCGGCTCGGCTGTTGCTGCATAAATAGTTGTCTTTCTGGGTTTGAAGGCAGGAGGGGGTGGACTTGAAATGAGGCTCTGTGGTTACCACTTTTTATTTTTTATCCACATATTTTTCTGTTACCAGAGAGCAGCAGCTTGACTCGGAGCTGTTCATGTGAACTAACCAAGTATCAAATACATTTTTAAAAGAACAAATAAAGCTCATTATTCTTTTACACAATACTGAACCACTCTTTAGACCCAAGAATGTGCCTATTAGTATTAAATTAGGTATTTAGTTTTTCCTTTTTCCCCACAAGTAAAACTACTTTCCCATTTTCATCCTAATATTTAATAAGTATTTGTATTGAGCATGCATCAAGTATTTGTATCATTTCAAAGGGTAAGACCTGTTATCCTTAATGTTTTTGGGGTTAAACTCATAAGAGTCATAATTTGTAAAGGACAGTTCATTTAAAACCTCACAACTAGTACAAGTTTAAAATAAACATTCAAGTTTGTACAAGCATCATATTTAAAAATAAATTAAAAAAATACAGAGATTTAATCATTGGCTCCGATATCTTAATCCTAACTAGGAGTGTTTGTAGGTCTTAAAACCTATTAATGTATTTATTATAAAAAGTATTAAACCCTTTGTAATAGAAGGAAGCTTGTTTAGCAACGAGTATGTCATTTTACTAATTTCACCTCATTAAGGTTATATTGTTGTGGCTTAATTATGTATTAAATATTAAATTTTTCTGGCAAAGATTTAAAAGAAATGCAACAATAAAATAGTTTTGCTGTTATATTTAGTTTATTATGTCTGAATTATATTTTAGTTTAGCATGTTATCTGCTGTGGTATAGTTAAAAATAATCCTGCAAGCTTTTTAATAACATACTTTCTGTCTGCTTCTTATTTTAAATTTAAATCAGATTTTACTTAAATACGTGTCATCTCACTGAAACAGATCATGTATAACAGAGGTTTTTATTTGGGCTTGTTTGGACTCGACAGTGATTCTGAGTAGACGTCAATCTGCGACGTGTCTAATTAAGGCTGGCGGCTGTTCGACCCGGCGGCTTGTTTTTAGCTCAACTCTGAATTGTCTGTTTATGTAAAGTGAAGGGTGGGCGAGCTGCAGATATTCAGGCATCATTTCCTGAAATTTAAGCTTTTAGGCAAATCTAGAAAAACTGCATTTTACAGTAGTGAGCGCTGAATGACTGGCAGAAATGTGCTAAAACTAAAAGCAGCAAAATGCTAGCTAAAAGTAATTCAAAGGCTAAATAAATATAAGAAAAATGTGAGTTAAAAGCAGAATGGTAGCTAAAAGCTAAAAGTAAGAAAAAATCTAGCTAAAAAAAGCAAAAGTGGCAGAACTGTATTTAAATGCTAAAAGTAGCAGAACGATAAACATGAAAGTACCAGTAGTGCAAAGGTGGCTAAAAGTAGCAACAAGCTTGCTAAAGGCTAAAATCAGCAAGATGCTAGTTAAAGGCAAAAAGTAACAAAGCGGTAGCAACAGACTTAAAGTAACAAAACGATGGCTAAATGTTAAAAGTAGCTTAACGTAACATAAGAAGACAAAACCAGCCAGTAGCTAAAGCAGATTTCAAACACATCAATATTTTTTAAGGAATTGAAGAGATCTCGATGTTTTTCTATCGGGAAAATATTTGTAAATCAAGTGAAATGTTTTGAAAAGAATAAAAGTTATAAAACGACAAAAGTCACGGCACCTGATGGAGCTGAGCGTTTTGATAAGCTAACGGCTAACATTGTGCAAAACTGCAGAAGTAGTTAGATTGCAAACGTCACACCAAATATTCAAAGCAGGAAGACGATAATGTAAATGCATAAATACCGTTGTGTTCTGTTCTCGTTTTAGTTAAATATTGTTGAGCCATCCAGGCATGAATGATTAATATTTGGTTTATTTTATTTCTCTGTTGTGGAATAATGTCTGCTGCTAATCAGCTGGCGTTTGTTTAGTGTATTATAAAACTTTATTTGACCTTTTATGATGATTATAAAATGTTGCTGTCTTTAATGCAAACTGTTGATGGGTGATATCAGTTAAGCTCATTTTATTGTTGCTACTCTTTCAGATAAATTTGGATAAATGGCTTATTGTTGTTGCTGATCCAGTCTGCTCCAACTTCTGAAAGCTTCAGGGCAGAGACTTTTCCCTGAAATAAAACAAAATTAAAGATAACGTGTTCTTATTTTATGAATGCAAAGCTACTAATCAATCAGACTTTCTTGGTAAATGTTATTTATCCAGAGATCGCTGTGCTTTCTCATGACTTTAAGATCATTTCCTTAAACATGGCAAACATCAGTCGGGCTTCCCAGATTCCTATATTTAGTTTAGCTCAGTTTTATGTTTGTCCTGTCTGAGAAGGAGCTGACCAAGAAACTGTCATCAAATCTACACCCACAATAAGCCAGTCAGGCTCAGAATTTTCTGCTTAATCCTCTGAAAATACAAAAGAAAACTCATAAATTCACATCATGGTTTCACAGGCTGGTGAAGATTAAGATTGATAGATGTGTAGGTTGGAGAGTCGATGCAGTCAGACAATGTTTATCGGATGAGGTTTAATTGATGGCTGAAACCTTATCTCTCCGCAGACTGAAGCCCTTGGACATCGAGTTCATGAAACGGTTGCATGAGAAAGTCAATGTCATCCCGATGATCGCCAAAGCAGACACTCTCACCCCGGAGGAATGCCAACAGTTCAAGAAGCAGGTCAGTGGTTTCCACAGCTGCAGGGGGAACGATCTCAGAGGGCCGTTTATTTTTGTTTTCTTTGCGCTGCTCGTCGGTATGATTGCAATGGTATTTATGAAAAACCAAACCAAATGCAGAACAGGCTCTTTGGTGGTGCATCGTTTGCTGAAGATACAAAATGGAAGTTTGTTGTTTTTGTTTGTGTGACACGTTTTGTAGGTTTTGACAAGATGACTAGATGGAGAGAAAACGTCTACCCTTTCAAGACTATTAGGCTAAAATTAAACTAGACTTTTTTAGTGAAAGCTCATGTTAAAGGTAGAAATTAAACATGACCCCCCCCCCCCCCAGAGCTTGAGTCTTGTTTTAGTGACGGGAGCAGCTGAGCTGAGTGAGCAGCTGCGTTTGTAGGAATGTAGAAGTTCAGAAATGTAGGGTGGGGCAAGATGATTCAAAGATTTTAAAACAAATACACATATTTTAAAGTGAATCCTAGAATCTCACGTCAGATGGTGAAGTCACGATGCGTCAGAAAACTCTTAATTAGTCCGCTGATCAACAGTTGGCATAGAGACTGAAGGGAAGCAGATTGTAAGCCCATGTTCACGATGCTAATTTCTCACTTCGTTAAATTTTGAGACTGAATTTTAATTCAATTCAATTCAAAAATACTTTATTAATCCCAAAGGGAAATTATTTGTTGTTGTAACTCGTTATCCTCGTTTCATGAAGAGATGTTCTAGATACTGATGCTGTAGACAGGAAGGATCTCTTGTAAAGGTCCATCCCTCAGTGGATCCTAAGACATGGCTGCAGGTGCCGTCTGATCCGTCCACCCAGACTTAAAGCGGAGCTGTTTAAGACCGTGTGGTTAACTTATTGTTGGCAGGGATCAGTATAAAATAAATGTAACCGCTCTAGTTTGTTTAACCATTTCCACCTGCTCGAGTCCTTTAAACAACTTCTCTCTCCTTCAAAGATCATGAGAGAAATCCAAGAGCACAAAATCAAGATATACGAGTTTCCCGAGACAGATGACGAAGAAGAAAACAGGCTGGTGAAGAAGATTAAAGTATGCGGTTTGACAAGTCACACCTATGTTGCAGTTTGTGTGTCGAAAGCTCCGGGTTTTGAAGGAACGCTCGTTGTTTTGCCAGGACAAGCTGCCGCTGGCTGTGGTAGGAAGCAACACCATCATCGAGGTGAACGGCAAGAGGGTGAGAGGCAGGCAATACCCCTGGGGGGTCGCAGAAGGTACAAATGTTCAACTAAAATGTTAATAAAGTTGTTTGAAAGTACAGATTTAAATAAAAAGTCACTGGGAAGAGAAAGACCACCCTTTTTAAAATATACGGTAGTTTTATGTGTTGGGACATGTTAAAATGGTCTGAGCTTAACCAGGTTCTACAAGTATTCAAATTTAACCTTCAAGTGTACAAAAACACAACAAATTCCACCAGCAGCACTGGTTCAGAACACAATGTCAAACTGGAAAGACATCAGCAATGACCCTAAACAAGCACCTGTTGCAGCCCGTCAGTCTGGGAAGGGCTGCAGGTCATTTCTAAATAAATTTAAGTTGATTCTTCTTTTGGCTTTTTCCTCTTCAGGGGTCTGCACCGCGAGTCATCCACCTCCATCTCACTCTGTCCCCTGCATCCTCTGTCCTCACTCCAACTACCTCCATGTCCTCTAACTGCATCCATAGATCTCCTCTGTCTTTTTCTAACATCCTTCTACCAATATACCCACTGTAACTGAAGTTGATTCTTCTACGGAGGATTGTTCTCAAGTGGAAAATATTTTAAGACCGCTGCTAATCTTCACAGCAGTGGATGTCTCACCAAAATCACCCGAAAGGTCAGACCGTGTAATGCTCAGAGGATTGACAAAATAGCCCATGAGCTTCATCTCAGACTCGACACAGGCCTCAGTTAAAAGGTCAAAGTTCATGAGAGGATAATTGGAGCGAGTGAACGAGTCTGGCATGTTTGGAAGGGTTGCTGACAAAAGTCTCTTCTCTCCAAAACAACATGACGACACAACTAAGGTTGTTAACATTTCACCTGAATGAACCACAAGACCTTTAAGTCAACATCCTTTGGACAAATGAGACGGAAGAAGATGCATTTACCCATAATGCACAGCAGCAAACACATGTCATCACCAACACCTTATGGCATCTGTGAAGCACGGCGGTGGAGGGCTGATGATCTGGGCGTGTTTTGCAGCCGCTGGACCTTTTGAGTCGATCTCCGTGGACCCAAACATTTCTCGAGTCACGGTCCGGCAGCTGAAGCTTGGACCAAAGTGGGTCATACGGTTTTAGAACGTGGTAAAGACCTGGTCAGTTTTATTACGGCCTGATGCATAAAACCCTGTATTATGGGATATATTTGATACAAACTAAACTTTGCTCACAGAGTGTTTTTCCTCTGAATGAGCTCGAAGGCAGGCGAGTTCCTCACACCTGAGGTATTTACACAAAGGAGTCGTTTATGGTTTGAAATGTGACTTCACCTCGGGTGGAGGTGTGGGGTGCAGCTGCAGAGGATGTGAAGCAGATCCACATATGTTTGGGTGGAGAGACGAAGTGACATGCAGTTTATTTTTAAATTATTTTAGCTACTTAAATACACAACTGCTTGTGAAAGCAGCTCTGTCTGATGCAGTTAAACCTCCACCCAGACTATCCGTGACATTAGACTCCCACGTCCCCCTCAGGTGGAGAACTGCCATGTTTGGCTCCTCCAGAAATTAATATGTCATTTAATGTGCAAGGCTCTGTTTTGTTTGGTTTAACAGATGTTTCTTTTAATCCCTTTTAGTGGAAAACGGTGACCATTGTGACTTCACCATCCTCAGGGACATGCTCATCAGGTACTGAGAATACAAAGACTACGGGGAATGTGTCATATTTACTTCCATCTAGACTCTTTGAATTGTTTCTGAATGGAGCCGTTCGCAAAGAACCTTTATTATAAAAGACGTGTCGTTCTCTGTCCACCCTCAGAACTCACATGCAGGACCTGAAGGACGTGACCAACAACGTCCACTATGAAAACTACCGGAGCAGGAAGTTGGCCGCTGTCACCTACAACGGAGTGGACAACAACAAAGCTAAAGGACAACTGTCCACCAAGTAAGTCCTGACACGAGTCCAGCAGAGCCGGCGGGTGTCGGTCGTAGGGGGATGAGCTCATTAGGACCTTTATGACGATACGCTTTTATTTTTAAACTTGGTTTTGTTTTTAAACTCAAAAAGGTTGCAGGTAAATTAAAAATGCAAAACTCATTTTATAAAGATTTTGCTTTTACTTGTATTGTTGTGTGTGGGGGGGGTTTCGAGTTTCACGTAATTATTCTTTTAATAGTTTTAAAGAATTGATCGTGCTGAGTTTTAGTTGTTTGTGTTGAAGGTCAAAACTATTCAAGGTTGTGGTAGCTGCGCCCTGTTCGCACATGACCACGTCATCATTGCATCAGTTTGTCAGCTCCTTCAGAACCTGCAGTTAGTTTTTATGCAAACTGCACCGACCAGACAAAACCCAACGGCAGCAGCAGGTGATCGGCTGTTCTCGTCTCCAATTCCTCTCTTTTGAACCGTACAATAACTGAATTTATTTTAATATTTAATCATTTCTCCTGGATGGAAAGCGTTGACGTACGGCTAAAACTCCTGATAAATATAATTTTCAGCTGTTTTTTTATTTTTTATTATTATTATTAAGGCAAAAGGTTTTTGATGAAAGTTCTTTGTACAGTTATATTTGAGTGATCATATAAAATAAATCATGGTTTTTGTCTTTAGTGACTCAAGTTAAAGAAATAATTCACAGATTGGGCTCTTTTCTCACACTAGTTGTCTGTTTGGTAAAAAGTAACCAGTTTTATTTACACACAGCTCCACTGAGGTTTGAGATGTTTTTTGTTGTCACCTCTCATCGTTGCTTTGCACAAATCATTTCTCCAATTTTCACCAAGTTCTAATTTAAAAGCCATTGTTGCTTTTTAACGAGTAAAACTAAGCCAGCGTCTAACTCGTCACACCGCTGATCCTAACACACAGATCTGAGCACAGCTGCTGCTGATGTAACGAAACGTTTTGTTTCCATGTGTCATTAAAATGCAGCTTGAGTCACTTAATACATTTAATGATGTTTTTATTTGAGTGCATGAGCTCACTGCATGCTGTGTGTTTGTGTCTGTGTGTTTTTGTTTTTTAGACTTGACACAGTTGAAGGAATGTAAGTGATTTTTTTTTTTTTTCAGTCCTTTTTGTTTAAGATCTCAGCATCCTTCCTCCTTTTCCCCTCGCTTGTTGTTCAGATGTTTGATCCTTTTGCTCTGCTCCTCCTCACTTCTCGCTGTCAGTTTTCATATTTTCCGGGAGGAAACCTAATTTGCAGCATTTCCTTATGAACAAAGTTTTCCATCCGGGCGCAGTGATAATTAATTAATTTATTTTTTCCCCAAGGCCAGATTTTTCCTGTTTATGATTCTGACTGTGCTCACTGTAGTCTTGTTTGTTTGTTTGTTGAGGCCTGAGCTTGAGATGTTTGGAGTGGCTGCCAAGTTAAAAATAAATAAATTCTGTATATTTTAGATAGATAAGCTGTTTGTTAGAAGAAGCAAATTGTTAGTGTATAAAAACAGGCGTTGAATCCTCTGGTGCTTTTCTAAACGTAGTGAAAATGTGATCGAAAGAGTTTCAACAAGTCGTACATCTTAAAGAATAAACATACAAAGACTGAGGGTTAAGGATTGTTTGTGCGTCCTCACGTGGTATTTAGAGATATGTCACTCAGACCGTGCGTTCTGAATAGAATAGATCTTTATTGTCATTGCACACGAGTACAACGAAATTTGAGTTTGCTTCCCAGAGCACAAGTAAAAACAGTGTAATATAAAACAAGGCAACTATATATATTGTATAAAAGGTAATAGTTACAGATTTTAAACACCCCAAATGTGCAACACAAGCAGATTGATATTACACAAGTTGTCCATTTTTGCACGTATTCAGTTCTTATTACAGCTTTTGTTAGGTTCAGTAACGGTTGATGGGTAAAAACCATTTTAATATCAGTTTGTTCTCGTCTTGATTGATCTGAACCTTTTCCCTGATGGTAACGGTTCAAACATGTCCAGGGTGACACGGGTCCTTTAACATGTTGTGGGCTTTTCCTGTGCAGCAGGAACTGCGTACATCTTCCAGGGATAGAAGAGGGCAGCCCACGATCTTCTGGGCTGCGTTGATAACTTTCTGGAGCGCTTTCCTCTGAGCCACTGTGCAGCTAAGACACCACCCAGTGATGCAGTGTGTTAAGATGCTCTCTGGAGTATTGATAGAAAGACACCAGCAGTCTCTGGGTGATGTTCCTCCTGAGCGCACTCAGGAAGTCCAGACTCTGCTGGGCCTTTTTCAGCAGTTCAGAGGTGTTCATGCTCCAGGTCTGGTTCCCGTCAATATGGACTCCAGGAAATTGTAGTCATCTAGTCTCTCCACTCAATCTCCGCTTATAACCAGGGGTTGGACGCCATTTTCATTTTCTGAAGTCCATGATCAGCTCCTTAGTCTTTGAGGTGTTGATGAGCAGATTGTTCCCCCTGCACCAAGCAGTCAGTTATTCAAACATGTCCCTATAGGTGGTCTCACCCCCCCACTGATGAGCCCCCACCACTGTAGGGTTGTCTGCAAATTTGACTATGGTGTTGCTGTGGTGAGCAGGGGTGCAGTCGTGTGTGCTGAGGGCATAGAGCAGGGGGCTCAGCACACAGCCCTGTGGAGCTCCCAGATTAAGGCTGAAGGCCACGAATGTGTGACACTCAGCTATTTCCACTTCAAGTTTTAGCTCATTTTAGTTGCATTTTATTTTATTTTTTTAACCAAAGGTGCGTTCTGTTAGAATATGTGTCAGTGATTCTGTCTTTGCCTTTTGATGGTGGGTGATAATTAAAGTTTTAAAATGGTCTTCATGAAACCAAAACTGTTTCCAGAGTTCGATCAGAGCTGCTGAATTTCAACAGTTGAATCACTAATTTTAACGCCGTTCAGAGGAAGAAACCAAACAACTTGTTGATGTTGCGCACAAAATAAAAAGTCTTGTATTGAAAAGGATTTTTCAGTCGCCTGAGATTCTCATTTAAAATCATAAAGCTGTGAATTAGAGCTAAAAAATTAAAAATAATAAAATCCTTCGTAAATGTGTGCCCGTCATTTCGGCGGCTCGTCTAATTTTGATCAGGCAACCACTCCAGACGTTTCCTGACTCTTACTTGCACATGTTCACTGCAGCTGACCGCCTCCTGGGTGAGCTTCACTAACATTTAATGATCCACCATCTTCACTAATGGCAGCGCTCACGTTCTGTGTCTCAGAAATACTCTGGTGTTTCCTGTTCCTGCTCTGACCTTATTGGACCTCCAAAACCTGCTCCTTCGGTTTCCTCCTGCACCTCCCACGTGGTGTATTTCTTTAAAACGGCATGACAATCAAGGCATCCTGCTGCGAAGACTTTAAACGCCACTTCCTGTTTCTTTCACTTATAAAGAACAGTAGATGTGTTTGTGTCAGTGTTTTCACTTGATCGCAGTATAAGTATTTATGATATTTAGCTTAACTTTGTTCATAAGAGAAGAAACCTTCTGCCTGAGGTCTGCAGATGAAAGGTGAAGAAAAGAGGTGAAGTAAACGAGTTTATCACCATCATCTAGATAAAACCTTTAGTCCACTGTCCGTTAATGTGGTGTAAAGAGTCGGACTGTAGTGTCAAACTGGTTCAAAACCAACAGAAAAGAAACTGTCCAGATGACCTGACTGAAAATTGTTGGAGTCAGATTGTAGGTATATCCAGCTCAGCAGGCATGCCATACGTTTGCTGTTATAAGGACTAGGACCTGATGTGTGTAAGTTTTAGTTTAGATGATTTGATGATGGATTTGTTCAGGACATGCAGAGACAGACTTGGGATGTGCAGTAGGAGTGACTGATGGACTCATGATGGGACTCTGAGCCCCTCCTTGTGTGCAACAGTGATGGACGAGCGGATAGAAGCGCTCAGACAGGAGTCTCACAGGATGTGATGTTTGCAGTCTGTAGTGAAAGGTGGGAGCAGGTGGAAGAGAGTCTGAAGAGGTGGGGGGAATGCTCTGCAGTCAGAATTTGTGAGGAGTGGAGGTACTGAAGGTGTCCTAACACTAAGACAGGAAGTGCAGATGAAGATCTTCAGATTCTCATTTGGAAAGACCAAAATGGACAGAATGAGAAATGAGTCCGTCAGAGGGACAGCTCAGGTTTAGAGACAAAGTTAGAGAAGGTCCATGGGTGTAGTGAAGGAGATGCAGAGAGTTGATGTGACGGAGGAGGATTCTGGGAGGAAGATGAACCATGAAATGAAATATGAACATAGATTAAATGCATCAGATCAGAAAGAAAGAACCAGAGTCCAGTTACCTACTGATGATCATCCAGGCAGCTCCTGATGGTCTGCAGAGTCCCCACGAGGAACTAAACCTTAAAATGTTTGGAAACGGATCTTTAGAAAAAGTAACTAGAAGAGACAGGAAGCAGATTAAATGGAAGAAAAGGTTTTATTATGGTAAAAAGTTGTGCAAAAATGAATCCTTTACTCAGTTTAGAAGGTTCTGCTGAAGGATCTGTACGCAGGTGGGTGAAACTTTGGTTTGCAGCAGGTCGCTGCTCCCTTCTGCTCGCTCAAATACTGTTTGAAGAGGACAGGAAACAAATATGAGTTTGTGTGCAGTTATTCACGTCTGTTTTCTTAACCCGTGTGTGGTTCTGCTTGTTTTGTGCGCACGCTCACCTGACTCCTCCTCAGGAGTCCTCTGGCCCAGATGGAGGAGGAGAGGCGGGAGCATGTGGCCAAAATGAAGAAGATGGAGATGGAAATGGAGCAGGTGTTTGAGATGAAAGTCAAGGAGAAGGTGCAGAAGCTGAAAGACTCTGAAGCAGAGGTAACACACACACACACACACACACACACACACACGCACGCACGTTCAACGACGCTGCTTCCTTCCTGTTGTGCTGACGTGTGTTTGTGGTTAGACGAGCGAGAGAAAACGTGCTTAATTAGTCGTAACGAATGTTCTGGTTTATACTTGAGTCTTCTAATTGGTCAGTTACTCAACAACAGCCACTGGGATGAAAAGTTCATTAAAAAAAGGATGATTTATTAACCAAGTATAGATTTAATAAAAACTGAGAGGTGTCCAAACCAGTAGTGTTTTGTAAAATCTAATACCGCAGAACAAATGAAGGTCCTCCAGGTTTATAAAGTCGTGCTTCCAGCTGACGCCCTCCTCTCTCCCGTTCACCTACAGCTTCAGAGGCGTCACGAGCAGATGAAGAAGAACCTGGAGGCTCAGCACAAGGAGCTGGAGGAGAAGAGGCGCGTCTTCGAGGAGGAGAGGGTAAACTGGGAGACCCAACAGAGGCTGGAGCAGCAGAAACTGGAGGCCTCCAGGTACAGCAGACTCACTTTAAATCTGATTTCAGCTTCAGGGTTACCCTCATCTCAATTTCCTAAAATAATTTAACTTTTTTTCTGCACTTTACATAAAAATGCTGCTTATAAATAAAACTACAAACAACCTCATTTCTTGTTTGAACCCTGCTCTGAACGGCACTTTCACGAGCCGTTTACTTCCTGGATCGTTGCAAAATCCATCAACACGTAGGTGGCGATAATTCTCTGTCCACATATACTGAGCACAAAGGTTCATTCTGGTTCCACCTCCCTGGGGAGGCACCCAGGAAGCATCCTTACCAGATGAACCACCTCAACTGGCTCCTCGATGTGGAGGAGCAGTGGTTCTACTCTGAGTTTCTCCTGATAAATGAACTTCTCAGCCTGTCTCTAAGGGAGAGTCCAGCTACCCTGCAGAGGAAACTCATTTCAACCTCCTGGATCCACAATCTCATTCTTTCAGTCTCTACCAGAGTTCATGACCAGAGGTGAGGGGAGGAACGTAGACTGACCAGTAAACAGAGAGCTTTGTCTTACAGCTCAGCTCCCTCTTCACCACAACAGACCAGTACAGAGTCCACAATACTGCAGACGCTGCACCAATCTGTCTGTCAATCTCACGTTCCATTCTTCCCTCACTCATGAACAAAACTCTGAGATACTTGAACTCCTCCACTTGAGGCAGAACCTCACCCTCGACCTGAAGAGAACAATCCACTCTTTTCTGACTGAGGACCACGGCCTCAGATCTGGAGGTGCTGGTTCTCATCCCAGCCGCTTCACACTCGGCTGTGAACCGTTCAAGTTAGAGCTGAAGATCAAGGCACGATGACGCCAACAGGACCACATCATCTGCAAAGAGCAGAGGTGAATCCTGAGACCACCGAACCGGACTCCCTCCACCCCCTGGCTGCACCGAGAAGTTCTGTCCATAAAAGTTCTGAACAGAATCTGTGACGAGCAGCTCTGGTGGAGTCCGACTCCCACCCTGAAGGGGTCTGACTTATTACCAGCAATGAGAACCAAACTCAGGAACCGAACAGCCCACCCCCCACAGTGTACCCCGAGGAACGTGGTCAGACACCTTCTCCAAGTCCACAAAATGCATGTAGACTGGATGGGCAAACTCCCATGACCCCTCGAGGACCCTAGTGAGGGTAAAGAGCTGGTCCAGTGTTCCACAGCCAGAACAGAACCTGCATTGTTCCTCCTGGATCTGAGGTTCGACCAGTGATCAGACTCTCTTCTCCAGTACCCCTGAACAGACCTTACCATGGAGGCTGAGGAGAGTGACGCCCCTGTAACCCCCAGTCTGACAATCCAGTTCATAGTTTGCAGCAGCTACAACGTGAGGACTGAGTTAGCAGCACTGTGGCTAACAGCTAACAAACTTTTCATCTAAACATGTTGCTGTGTGGAAGTATTTTACACTAAACACCACAAAACAAGAGCAACGTGCACTGTCTGCAGAGACATAGCGCCACATTAAACCACGATAAAGTTAGTTTTACGTTGGACATTCGAGCTCCGTGGCTTCAGCGGTCTGTTATTTTTGTTCAGTCCGGAGAAGGCAGTCTGATTTCAGTCTGACCCGCTCAGTCTGTCCGTGTCGGAGGAGGGACCGACTGAGAGGGACAGACTGAGCGGGGCTGACCGAGATCAGACTGCTTGCTGTGGAATGAACAAGAAGACGTCGCTGAAACCACGGAGCTCAAATGTTTACAGAGAAGTTGCTAAACTTCATCATAATTAATGACCAACCACTATCAGTTGTAGAAAAGGAAGGATTTCACAGCTTGATACTTGCAGCCAAGATCTAGTTTACCCTCCAGGAGATATTTATCAGTACAACAGTAAACAATCATAAAAAAAACGTGATTTGAAAATTACAAGAAAATTATATATATATATATATATATACGAAACAGAAACTGTTACATTATAAAGTGATGTAAAATACTAAACAGGAACATGTCTTTTTTTATGCCATGAACTTAGCAGGTGTCATGAAGCCATTTAACATTTTATTTTATTTAATTCATTCATTTAAAAGAAACGATAAAAAAAAATCACAAAGAAAACATTGAAGAGTGCAGAAAGAAGAAAAATCTTATATCTGCCCCTTATTTAAAAAATATAAAATAACTAAACATTACTTAAATTAATCACTTTAATATCCACTTTAAAGCTATGAATAAAAATAAACATGTTTTGTGTTAGAATTTAATTCTAACTTTAAAACTTATCCAACATTAATAAAACTTACCTTAAGTTGCCTTTTTGGACATGCATGAATATATTTGTACAAACTGTACTTGAGAGCAGATTATTACAGCCTCATATAAAATCAATGATGATCATGTATCGGAACTGGATCGGTATCGGACGATATTTACATTTAGGTGTCGGGATCGGAAGTAAAAAAAAATGTGGATCTGTGCATCCCTAGTCTTTAGATGTTTTTTTTTTTTTTTTTTACTGCTATCATCACATTAACTGGTGATCAGTTAATTACCGGTAATTAAAACTTTGCTGAACCATAAAGGATTCACAGCGTTCCTTTTTTCACTTCTTTGTCTCGGTTGTTTTTATGTAAAGAGTTGTTGGTGAACCTCATGTTTTTAGAAAGATCAAAATGAAGATTCCTGCTTATTTATTTATTTACTGTTCTGTTATCAGTCACTGAAACGTTTGAAAAACTTTAGCGAAAATTTAAATAAAATATAAAAACAGGGCCTAAATGTTCGTTTAGAGCCCGAGGAGTAAAAGTGACTTTAGAGCATAACTCCAAGGGTGGGAGGTAAAATTTTCAGACCCACCCCCCAAAAAAAAAAAAAACTTTGTGGACAGATGGATTAATGACCAGAAGCCTTGGACTGATGAAGTCCTTTGGATGAAGGATGAAACGTTTCAACTAAAAATGAAACCGTCCAGATGAACTGACTGAACTTTGTTGGATTTTGACCTGGATTATTGAGCATGGACTTTGATGTTTTGAACCACTTTGGCCATGGCTGCCTCAGAGGAGTCGAGGGGGGAGAGGGAGGGCCCCAGAAACCATCTTATCACCAGCAAACTGGTTGGTCCACTATGAGAGTGCTGCTTGTGGGACTGAGTTTGTTGTGGCTCCTCGGTCTGATGAAGTCCTTTGGATGAAAGACGAAACGTCTCAACAAAAAAAGAAACTGTCCATATGATCTGACTGAACTTTGGACCAGAAGCTGAGTTTATTAACTTAAGTTTATTAGTTTTTAATTTGAAGAGCAGGAAGCAGAGAGAGGCAGAATTCACGAGCTGGAAATTTAAATACCCAATTCAAGATGGCAACCACAGCTAACCAGCTTTAGCGAACACAGAGCGAGCTCTAACTCCGTTTTACAGACGTTGAGCTAAGGTTTGACGTGGTAGTAGCTGAGAGTCATTCGCACTCGACATCGATCGTTATGTTCACAGGTTTGACCAGAACGTCTGTGACGCCATCATTTCTCACCCTGAGACGGTCAAAGCTACGTTCTCACTGCAGCGCGTGGGCGCTCCTTCATATTTTAAATGCGTCCTCCATCTCACTGCAGGCTGAGCAGCCCACAGCCCTGAAGTGTCCCACAGAAGACGACGTGACGGACCTCTGAAATCTTTATCTGACGTGATTGTTTCGTCCGATGTTTCCATTTGATCTGGTCTCCTCCCAGTTAATACACCATATTATTTTACATTATTATTGTTGAGCGTACATCTTGGATCCTTTTATACAGTTTCTTTTTTTATACTTTATATTTTTACTATTTTTGGGTGTAACTGGGACCTCGAGGGGCTGAGATGGGGTAGAAGTAGGGCAGCCGACTTGGCACCAGAAAGTCCCAGGTTCGACTCCCAGTCATTTCCACATGTCGTGGCGTCTCTGAGCAAGACACCTAATCCCTAATTGCTCCCCGGGCGCTTGCATAGCTGCCCACTGCTCCACCTGGTTGTGTCTCACATGTGATGGGTTAAATGCAGAGAATCATTGAAATTGTCCTCTGTTTGTTCCCGTACAAACTTCCCTTCCCTCGAGTACACAGTTTCATTCCACCTCATGTACCACATGTGATGTGACTGACAGAACCTTGAGCCTTCCTGCCTGCTCCGGTGCAGAACTGCCCTTCTGGAACGATGGTGACGTACTGAAAGTACCAATCCCATCACGCTACAACAAGTCGTCCACTGTTGGTGTCTTATGTTTGTGTAATCTCCATAATCCCAGACACGACAATATTCATTCAACCAACTGGACTTGTGTTCTGTAGCTGTAGACACGGAGTTACAAGCTTTAAACTGCATGACGTCGGGATCTTTAATATTTGGACCCGTACGCTCAAATGAAATGTGACGTGATCGTAATCAGGTTTTTATCCTGAGGTGCCACAAAAAGATCTGGGTGGGATTGAAAGAAATTGGATTTGTTCCGTTCCGATTGTCATATAAACAAAAAACCAGATTTGTTCCACTTCTGCCTGCAGAGTGAACGTAGCCGACGTAAGAAGGGGGCGGACCATGTTAAATGTTTGTGTTCTTCTGTTGCAGGACTCTGGAGAAAAACAAAAAGAAAGGCAAGATCTTCTAAAGACACTCTGCAGGACCCCCCCCCCCCCCCCCCCCCCCCCACCTTGAGTTGTTTCTGTTTGCCAACGATGCCGGTCAGAACACCAGCGTGTGGACCTGACGTCACCATCCCTTCTCTCCCCCAACCTCCCCCGTGCTCCACCTTCTCCCAGCCACTAGAGGGAGTACGGGGGGGGGGGGCATTTTTTGCTTTTGTAAGAGGTGGAGGGGGTCTGCGTGTACAGCCAGAACCGCCCGACCCGCCTCAGGACTCCTCGTCACCATGATCATGGAATGTGTTAACGACAGAAGAAGACAAAATCACCCCCGCTTCTGTAAGGCCAAACTCCTCTTGTTTTAATTCTTATTGACGTTATTAGTTTTAACAAAATACTGCCCCCACGTCCACCTCCTGCTCGTTCTTTCATCCCCACCGTTGCTTTGAAATGACCGGCGTGTACAGATTTATGGAGAGCAAAGTCCCAAACGAAATGCTCGCGCGTTGTTTTTGACCGTTGTACAATCAGTTTCTGTTGGATTTTATGTTTACAGGAAGAAAAAAACGCAACAGTGTTTGGAAAATTTGACCCAAACTCGTGCATTAATGAACTAAATCTTCATGCTTTGATTCGAGAACCTGAAACCTTCACGCTGTCAGTGCAGCTGCTTAAAATGTCAACATATAATCTGAGATAAAACAATAAAACGCACCTCGGGCCTTTTTATAAACTTACCAAAAACGGCTTAAGTTTGTTGTTGTTTTCTGAATTGTAACAACTGTTTAGTTATTTCTTCTAGCCTTGGACCACCATTTATATTGTCGTAAGTGTTATACTTCACTTTAGTTTATTTTTATATATATATGCCGAGCCAGCTGAAGTTCTTTTGTATGTTTAGATAAAAACCTCACAGACTGACAGCAGCGTCCTCTGTCCAACTTGTGTACAAGTCGTTCTGGAGGCTTTAAATAATAAATAAAACGTACTCTGCCGAAACGGATCAGTGGGAAATGAAGAGCTGACACCACTTTTTTTTTTTTTTTTTTGCTTTGGCTATGTACTCCATCTCTGTATTTTTAATTTTATTTTTGTTTGTAATGTACAATGTCACTTAATAAACATGTGATGGTATTTAGGAGTGAGATGGTTTGTTGATGGTGACGTAGTTTACAAATCTACCACTAGATGTCGCTGTTGGCGTTAGATCATCAAAACTGACCAGAGGTCTGACATGCACCTAATGAGGAATGTTTTTATTTTTTTATGGACTCTTCCTCTGTCTGCTTCCATCCTCATCCTCACGGGGCTCCTGCAGGGGATGAAGTCAGTTTTATTAACCAGGTCAATTAAATTAAAAAAACATCCAAAGTTGGAATATTTACCGTGATAGTCAAAGTTCCTTTTACCCATCAGGCCTATGAAGGTTTGAAATTTCTGCCCTGAAAGTAAATAATTTTGTTTCAACGTGCTCGTTTAGTTAAAATTTTACATCAAGTTGCTGTAAATTAGACACTCACGTTTCCGTGCCGTCTGCGATTTTCCTGTTTGGAAGGAAATAAAAGTTCTCGTCAGGGCCGGATGATGCCGTCTGGTTTAATTCGTACAAGAACCTGAACCTTTCTTTCCTTGTTTTGATTTCCTGTTGATTTTCACCAACACGTCCCGGATCACAGCCGTGTTCGACCATTTGGGCTTCCATGTAGAAAGGAAAATTAAAATAGCAGTTTTGGGTCCCAACTACAGCTGGTTCTGGGACAAACCCCGATAATATGAAACATTTTTAAAGTGTCTTACCTCACAGACCACATCCCTCCTGGTGTCACCGTCCAGTTCTTGACTGAAAACATTCGACAGGAGCAGCAAAGTTATCAAACCAAGTTTAATGATCTCCATCGTAGTTTCATCCAAATGTCTGCAGAGGTTTAAATAAAGTGAGCTGATCCGAACCCGCCAGCTGCTCTGATCCAAATGACAACAATGGCTCTTTGCGCAGGATTCACACACAGCTGGAGCTGAACGGTGTGGGCTGATCATCTCTGGAGATAATTCCAGAGTCACGGTTTCGTTTTGACATCCGAGCGTGTGATTCAAACACTTAGAGAAACTTTGGAACGATTTTCTCCTGCAAAACGGATAATTTATGATTAAAAACCAGCAGTCTGTACAGAAATCCATCTTATGTGTTTTTATTTTAATTAGAGCTACACAGGCTGAGTTTATCACAAAAGACACTTGTGGATGAGTAGGTCTCTTTCAGAACAAAACTAATTAACTTCTGTAAGTAGTTTAGTAATGATGCACAAGTTGGTTGCATTCAATGAGACAAAAAGTATTTTTCTCAAAGTGTTTTGTGTTTATATTGTAAGTATTCCTAAAAGATGAATTAACAAGACTAAAGTTAAAACAATTTAACAAAAATTACAAAGGCATTAATTTTATATTTGAATCATAAAAATAAATTAATAAAAAATTCCAGTAAGTAATGTTTGTCAGGTGCCAGTGGATAAAATGAAGGCCCAGATTATCAGGTATTTTTTTGTTAACACCTATTTATTATTTAGTTTTTGATTTATTTGCTCTTTATTAGCTGTTAACAATTTTTATATATTCACAGGTAATAATTATTAACAGTTTTTTTGTCAACTGTTAACAGTTACTTTGCATTTATTAACATTTATTGAATTATTGACAGCAAAAAAGTAAAATACAGAAGATGTGAAGTGCAGATTCGAAATACAACGATGACAACACAGCACTTATAACAATTACCAACATTTATTGAAACTACAAGCAGAAAGCTAAAGAAGCTAAATGTCAGCTAAAAATATTAAAACGTCAGCTATGAGCTTAAGCAAAAACTGGGTCAAACCAAAAATGATCAAAACAAAAAGGAAAGGTAGCAAAACAGTAGCTAAAAGTAGCAGAAGACAAACTAAAACAGCTAAACACTAAAACCATAAACGGCAAAATGCTAGCTAAACATTAAAGGATAGCTTGAAGCCAAATTTAGCAAAAAAGCTATCTAAAAGGTAAAGTAGAAAAATGTTCACTAAAAGTAGCAAAAGGTCAGAAGTTCAATGTAACTAAAGGTTAACCAGAAGCTAAAGTAACAAAAATGCTAACTGTAACAAAAGGCAAATTACTAAATAAAAGCGAAAAGTAACAACTAAAAGCTAAAACTTGCAAAATAGTAAAATGCTAATAGGAGCAGAAAACTTAATAAAAGCTCAAAGTAGCAAAAGGCTAGTTAGAGGTTAAAAGTAGCAGAACCTTAGCGAAAACTCAAAAGTAGCCAAAGAAGAAATTTAATAGCATGTTAAAGCAAAAATAATGTTTTTTTTAAAGAAACTGAAGACAAATGTATGAACTGAGAAAAACGTATGACGAAATAAAAACCATTTAAAAAAAAACAAAAACAATTTTGTTTTCTAATTCACAAAATTTTAGATTTTACCAACAACAGATGTTCACATAGTATTTTATGTGCAATTGTAACGTTTATTTAGCTTTTTTTTTTTTTTTTTAGTTGGAATGCTTTTGTTAGTAGTGCTGCTTTTCTTCTTCTTTCAGCTGTTCCTGCTTCAGGGTCTCACAGCGAGTCGTCCTCCTCCATCTCACTCTGTCCTCTGTCCTCACCCCATCTACCTCCATGTCCTCTCTAACTGCATCCATATGTCTCCTCTTTGTCTTTTTCCTGCAGCTGCATTTCTAACATCCTTCTACCAATATACCCACTGTCCCTCCTCTGGGCATGTCCAAACCACTGTCCCTCCTCTGGGCATGTCCAAACCACAGTCCCTCCTCTGGACATGTCCAAACCACAGTCCCTCCTCTGGACATGTCCCAACCATCTCATTCTGACCTCTTTAACTCCCCAGTTGTTCAACCTGTGCTATGATCTCGTCCTGATCTTACCACTCCATCCTGCCTGGACTCTCTTCTTCACCTCTTTACCACTCCCCATTCTCTTGGACAGTGGACTCGTAGTACTTGAAGTCCTGCAGCTTTGTGACCTTTGCTCCTTGTAGCTTCGCTGTTCTGCCGGCAGAGTACATGTGTGTGAATGAGAGGGATCTCATTCACACACATGTACTCTTTCATTCCTCTTCTTTCAAGTGCGTACCTCCACCTCTCCTAGTTAAATGGTAAATAGACTGTACTTGTATAGCACCTTTCTATCTAATCAAGACACTCAAAGCACTTTACACTACAATCTGTGCCTCATTTACCCATTCATACAGCTCTATACTAGATCTCTACAAAGCTAATTGAACAAATCATTCTAATGAGACCAATCAGTGTTTTTTAGATCACATTCATACACCAATGAGACACATCAGAGGTAATGTAGGTTCAGTCTTGCCCAAGGACACTTCGGCATATGACTGCTGGTGGATTCGAACCCACAACTGTTGCATTGGAGGACGACTGCTCTAACCGCTCAGCCACAGCCACCCAAGTTCTCTTCCACCTGTTCCCTGTTCTCACCACAGATCACAACGTCATCTGCAAGCATTATAGTCCACAGGGATTCCTGCTTGACCTCATGTGTTAGTCAGTCCATCACCAGAGCAAACAAGAAGGGGCTCAGAACCGACCCTTGATGCACTCCCACCTCCACCTTGAAGCTATCTGTCACTCCTACAGCACATCTTACCACTGTCCTGGTTTTGTGCTGAGATAAAAGCACCATAGATGCCATCTTTGCTTTGAGGATGCTGATGGAGAAGTACAGAGAGGGTCAGAAAGAACTCCATTGTGGATTTAGAAAAAGCATCTGACGGGGCTGAGGGAGGAGGTGTGGTGTTGCATTAGGAAATCTGGAGTGGCAGAGAAGTATGTTCTGGTACAGCTCTTTCTTACCACCCAGAGCCTTTAACAGCTCCTCTCTGAACTTCTCACAACATTCTTCCTTCTTCATCTTCCACCATTTGGTCTTCTTCTCTGATTTGACTCTTTTCCTCTTCTTCACAACAACAGTCATTCTACACACAACCATCCGATGCTGTCTGGCCACGCTCTCCCCTGCCACAACCTTACAGTCTCCAATCTCCCTCAGGTTTCCTCTTCTACACAGAATGTAGTCGACCTGTGTACTCCTTCCTCCACTCTTATAGGTCACTCTATGCTCCTCCCTCTTTTGGAAGTGAGTGTTGACTACAGCCATTTCCATTCTCTTGGTGAAATCCACCACCATCTGTCTTGGTTTCTTTCCTTGACACCAAACCTACCCTTCCTCATCCTCTGTTTCCTTCACCAACATGTCCATTCAGGTCTGCTTCCATCACCACTCTCTCCTCCCTGGGAATACTCCATCACTTCATCCAGATCCTTCCAAAATAGATCTTTCACATCACATCCAATCTGTGGAGCATAACCACTGACAACATTTAGCATCAGACCTTCTACTTCTACCTTCAGACACATCAGTCTATCTGACACTCTTTTCACCTCTACTACATTCTTTGCCAACTCCTCCTTTAGGACCAGCCCTACTCCATTTCTCTTTCTATCCACACCATGGTAAAACAGTTTGAACCCTGCTCCAATGATGTGAGCCTTGCTGCCCTTCCACTTGGTCTCTTGGACACACAAAACATCTACCTTCCTTCTCAGCATCATGTCAGCCAGCTCTCTACCTTTACCTGTCATTGCCCCATTTACCCGGGCCTGGTACTGGCTTGTGCTCCCTAGTGGCTGGTTTTTAGTGGTGCTTCTTTTGAATGAATTCAAAAAACGTTCAATACAAAAACAACTTGTTTTTGTATTGAACGTTTTTTGAATTCATCATGTCCTGGATGACTGAGAATCTTCACCAGCATATTCTATTGAATGTGGAAAATCCAGTTTTCGTTTAAGCTTTCTGTCCTCTCAGGGCCGCCGTAGAAAACCGTTATCTATTCATGGTGACGCCTACTCTTGTAATATATTTATATTAACGGTAAAAACACGTGCCGGGCGGTTTTCCTCTCAGTTGAAGCACCGTTCAGTCTTTTAATTTAAAATATAAATTCTGCTCTGGTCATGTCGAGGCTCGGCTCCTCGTGGTGAGTTCAAGGTCTTCGTTCCGTAGCGGAACAATGGGTTTTGTGCCTTCAGCGGTGCCTGCGCTGCTCCTGCTGCTCATCGTTGTGACAGCTCGTCTGACAGAACCGAGGGCACCGCGGCGCAGAGTAAAACTGGACCAAGGCTTGGACGGGTCTCTCCGGGGTTCTCTCCATGACCACAGAAACAAACCCAGTCCTCAGCCCGGAGACGGGCCGGAGCCGGGCGACGTCGCGGCTGCGTTCACTGTCCCAACTCTGGATGGGACGTTCTCGTACGAGCCCGGAGCCCTCAAAGGGTCTCTGGTCATCCACGCCTTCACCAACAAGTCCGGCTTCCTGGAGTGTCTGTGGAGCTCCGAGTCGTCCCTGACCAGTCTGCTCGAAGGTCTCCCTGACAGTACCCAGGTTCTGGTTCTGTCCCTGGACGAGTCCGCGGCCACTGATGTTCTGTGGATGAGAGATCAGCTGCAGCGGGTCGCGATGCGCAGGTGACCGTGAAGGCATCACCGGTAGTCAGAAGCTAAAGTTAGGGAAGTAGCTAAAAGTTAAAATTAGATACGGTGCCTAAAAGTAGCTAAAAATAGCAGACATCTAAAATGAGCAAAATTGTTGATAAAGCTCAAAGTTGCTAAACCATAGCTAAAAGCTAAAGCAGGATAAACCATAGATAAAATTAAAATGGGTAAACTTTAGCTGAGTGTTTGAATCAAAATTATTAGATCACAATTATTTGAATCAAAATTATTGGATCACAATTATTCGAAAGAGTAAAAGCCTAAAACAAACAGAACAGAACCTAAAATAAACTAATCTCTACCTTAAAGGTAAAAATAGCAAAACTATAGCTAAAAGCTAAAATGAGAAAACCTGTATGTAGAAGCTAAAATTAGCAAAACCACAGCTGAAAGCTAAAATCAGCTCAATTGTAGTGAAATGTAAAAGTTAGCATAATCATAACTAAAAGCTGAAAATAGACGTGTACTAAAACCTAAAAATTGAAAAACAGTAGGAAGCTAAAACAGTTAATTATAAGCCAAAACATAAATTCATACCTAAAATATAAACTTAGAAATTGTCAAAGATGTAGCTAAAAGAAAAAAAAAGTTAAACAGTAGTTAGTAGCAAAAATGAGCGAAACTGTTGTAAAAAGCTGATATTAACGAAACCATATCTGAATAGTAAAATTCACAAAACTGTGACTAAAAGCAAAAAATAGCATAAATGCAGCTAAAAGCTAAAGTTAGCGCAGACAAATACAAAGCGTGTTGAAGCAGATTTTTTAAAACGATTTATAAACGAATGAAAGCGTGGGGGCGTGGTGGCGCAGAGGTTAGAGAAGGTGGGCACGTGATCGGAAGGTTGTCGGTTCGACTCCCTGGAACAACAACATCAAAATGTGGGTGAGAAAGGTGGAACACACCTGCCTCCACCCTCATTTGCCCCACTCTGGGCCCTTGAGCAAGGCCCCGACCCCCACCATCTGCTGCCCCTGGCCCCCAGATGGCAGCTCCCTGCTCCACACGGAGGCCGTGGCAGCTCGGTGTCTGTGGTGTCAGGACATCCGCAGGAAAAACAAAAACTAATGCGAGTTAGTTTCCTGAGGAAGGGAGCAGCCGAAAGAAGAAAAACAAAATAGGCGAATGAAAGCGGTCTTCAAAAGGAATGTTTATTTTAAATCAGCTGTATTCTTTGGAAAACTAAAAGTTACTGAACTGGATTACGTCCCAGTTTATGTAAAACTTTAATCTGAAAGTGTGAAATCTTTAGTGTCAGAAAGAGAAATCAACAGTGAAATGAATTATGAGTTCACAACAATCGGTTTTTGTGTCTTTAACGTTTCTTCTTATCGTGCACGCCTCACCGCAGCAGGAAGGAGGTTCTGACCCAGTTGCACTTCTCCCCGGTCCCGCTCTTTGCTCTGGGTAACTGGATTCCCAGTGTGTTTTATTACTGGGGCTGCTGGGGTCACAACTGTGGGCTGTCTCAGGCCGTTTTCACCTCTGACGGTAAGACCTTTTATTTACAGTAACGTTTAAACGCTTGGAACCGGCTCGGTTCTGTAATTGGTCCCGTTTCCTCCTGCAGGATGGAAGACGCCCGTCGTCATCAAGAGACTGGATGCCAGGTACGACTGGCTGATGGGCCGCTGGAGTCCAGACTCCTCTCAGCTGGTCCATGCAGGAGACGGGTGTAGACCTTCAGCCTCGCTGGGCGGCGCCGTGGCCTGGGTGTCCGAGGGCAACTGCTCTTTCTTCACTAAGGTCCGTTCACGCTGCTGAATCAGCTAAAGAACCGTCGACCCAGAAGGATTCTGAGGCGGGACAGACACGTGACCCAGATATCTAAAGACCAACCTGCTCACAGACCAAAAACTTCTGCTGAAAGCAAATGTTTTCAAAGCAAATCAGTTTTGGTGCAGATTAATGCCGGTTTATTTATTTGTTTAAGCATAAAATCAAAGATGGAAAGTGCAGAAATAATTATTTTTCTCAGATCAATAACTTTTATGTTTAATGGACGATTAGGATGTGAACAAAAATGACTCGGCAATTTTTAAATGCACTAAGTACAACAGCCATATTGTTGTTAAAGTTCTATTCAAATTATAAACATAAAAACTGCTGTAAAATCATAACTTAGGCCGGGCGAGATAAAATGAAGGCCCAGATTAACAGGTATTTATTTATTAACAGTATGTACTTATTTATTAATAGTTTATTATTTATTAACTACTTGGTTTATAACAGGTATTTGTTATTAAATAACAGTTTTTCTTATTTATTAACAGTATTTGTTGTTTATGAACAGTACTTGTTATTAAATAAGTTATTTGTTGTTTATGAACAGTTTTTGTGTTATTAACAGTTATTTTATTATTAACTAACAACATCTGTTGTTTACTAACCAGTATTTGCTATTTATTAACAGTTACTTGCTATTTATTATCATTTATTTATTTAGCAACAGGTATTTATTTATTAACAGTACGTACTTATTTATTAATAGTTTATTATTTATTAACTACTTGGTTTATAACAGGTATGTTATTAAATAACAGTTTTTCTTATTTATTAACAGTATTTGTTGTTTATAAACAGTACTTGTTATTAAATAAGTTATTTGTTGTTTATGAACAGTTTTTGTATTATTAACAGTTATTTTATTATTAAATAACATCTGTTGTTTACTAACCAGTATTTGTTATTTATTAACAGTTTTTGTATTTATTAACAGTTATTGCTATTTATTAACAGTACTTCTTATTCACTAATGGGTATTTGCTATTTATTAACAGTTACTTGCTATTTATTAACATTTATTTGTTATTTATTAACAGTAAACTGTTTATATAAGAACCAAAATCATGAATGACTTATTGTAATAACTTAAAATTCAAAAATTGCTGAACAACTTTGCTGAAATTTATTTCAAACGCTAAAACTAAGTTGTTAAAAGAAGCGCAGCATAAGCTTAAAGCTTAAGGCGTGCATAAAGGCTTGTTAAAAGCTAAATGTAGCTAAATGCTGGTTAAAAGCTAAATGTAGC